AGTATAACAGTGACGCCTTAACCTACAAACTTTATCCAGAAATAAATACAGGTACAGATAAGCCTCACAGATTACAGGTAGCCTACTAACATAAATACAAAATACAAATACAGTAATCCCATGCAGTAGTAATATCATAAGCGGGATATGTAAATATATGCAAATTACTTTACATGGTCACGTATACCTGGTAATTACAGTCCTTAACCTGGACACAATTAGCAAAGTATTAAACTAATTAACCTTGTGGATTACCTGTTCCTCTTGTTAATATTAACACGTTTTTTGTGTAAACTAAAATTTACACACTTGTGAATAAAACTATAATTCACACACACCTGTTGCTCCTGTTAAGACTACGTCCACACACCTGTTGCTCCTGTTAAGACTACGTCCACACACCTGTTGCTCCTGTTAAGACTATATCCACACACCTGTTGCTCCTGTTAAGACTACGTCCACACACCTGTTGCTCCTATTAAGACTATATCCACACACCTGTTACTCTTGTTAAGACTACGTCCACACACCTGTTGCTCCTATTAAGACTATATCCACACACCTGTTACTCTTGTTAAGACTACGTCCACACACCTGTTGCTCCTATTAAGACTATATCCACACACCTGTTGCTCCTGTTAAGACTACGTCCACACACCTGTTGCTCCTATTAAGACTATATCCACACACCTGTTACTCTTGTTAAGACTACGTCCACACACCTGTTGCTCCTGTTAAGACTGTATCCACACACCTGTTGCTCCTATTAAGACTATATTCAGCCGTCCTCGCAGCCAATCAAGAAGGATAATTGGTGAGATAATCTAACCAACTGGTGTTCGGTCGTTAGGCTAAACATTCATGTACTCTTTTACTTACTTTCGTAAACCGTTGATTCAAATATAAACCAAAGTCTTGATAATATATAAGTACCTTATTATATCGTCTAAATATACTTACAAATTTATTACAAACTCGTATTATTTTAGCCCTACAATTAACTTACCTTACCATTACTAAATACATCCCGTGAACATAACCTACACCAACAATAAACTAAAAACAGTTAATATGGGATGAATATAACCAAAATATTATACATTTTATGGAAACAATTTTTTTTATTATTTATTGGGCTCTCCCCTACACCCTCGTGTAAGGTGAAGCTCAGAAGCTTTACAGCGCCCAACAGGGAAGCATGATAAGGTCATGCTTGCCTTATGTCTCATGAGTCAAGGGCCTGAAGCCTGAAGAGTCAGTGGTTTATGTCATCAAGTTATTGGAAGCTTCAACAACTCCCTGAATACGAATTCGCAACTTTCACCAGGTACCTACTGTACTGCTAGGTGAACAGGGACTAATGGGGGCTAGGAAGTATGTCCTAACACTTCCACCGGCCCGGGAATCGAACCCGTGACATTTCGCTTGCGATTGCAAGAGCGGTACCACTACCACCAGCACCTTCTATATTCTCAATGAAAAAAGTCAAGTAAATTTTCACTTACTTGAGAACGTGATGGCCGCCTCTTCAGCGGAGGCACTAAACTTATTATTTTTATCTTATGTTCTCTTATCTGTCGTTATTTCTGAGTTCATATCGTTGTAAGAGTTTGCATAGTTCGTATTTTGGAGTCGTTTAAGTAGCAAGAACACTTTGGCACTGTTTAAACACGATACATTGGAGATACGTCCTCCCCCTCTGATGGTCCGCTGGCAAAAAGTTGACAACACTTTAACTCATTTATACCAAGAGACTCCACTCAGAATAACAGCGCCATCTATTGGCTGCATCCAGGCGCCATCTATTGGCTGCATCCAGGCGCCATCTATTGGCTGCATCCAGGCGCCATCTATTGGCTGCATCCAGGCGCCATCTATTGGCTGCATCCAAAAGCTATTTGTGACGTCATGAGTGATGTTTTTTACGTATTCCATTTATTTTAGACATAAGTCTTCATTTATGTCTGCATACAGCATACTCCATTACCTCAAGATCTTAGAGGAGTTCAGAAATTAAGACAAAATCTTTTCTCTTGCACAATTACTGCAAGTGATGAATCACCTGTCATGCCGTTACATAAATGACCTTGTTTTCAGTAGAGTTCTTGGCTATTAAAAGACATTCTTATTGTTTATCTTTGAAATAAACAAACATTCAAGTTGTGTCTTGGTTACAATATTTCATCTAACTTGATACATGTAAATATTACCATTACCATCAACTGAGTCGGAGTGATGAAGCTGCTGCCTCACAACAGATTAAATACTTAAGTTGCCTATCTCTGTCCTTTGGAAATAGATGAAAATTAAAATATGGACGAGTATCCTTCCTCCTCTTAGTAATAACGCAGGGATGTTGAACTGTGCATCCATAATCTTCTAAATAGTATCCACCTTCTTCTTTAATAACATGACGAATTTCTTAGTATCTATGAAAGCAAAGTTAAACTGAAATATAATGGTGTCATCAATAATGTTACCGATTATAAAATGGCTATTGAAAACATGCAGACGACAACGTGACGTCACTTAGGTACAACTGCTGCGTCATCCTAATTCCGGACTACATATGATGACGTCACTGTGCACTTGAGGTTCCAGCTAGTATTATTACCGACTATCCTGTGTCTGCTTTATACTATGGTTGATTATTAACGACTATCCTGTCTTTGATTTATACTATGGTTGATTATTACCGACTATCCTGTCTCTGATTTATACTATGGTTGATTATTACCGACTATCCTGTCTCTGATTTATACTATGGTTGATTATTACCGACTATCCTGTCTCTGCTTTATACTATGGTTGATTATTACCGACTATCCTGTCTTTGATTTATACTATGGTTGATTATTACCGACTATCCTGTCTCTGAATTATACTATGGTTGTTTTGAATTTGGGCGACATAATTATCATGTTTAAAACTGACCACGAACAAAATTATTTTATTTTCATGTGATAACTAATTTTTTCTTATTAAAATTAACAATCGTTCTATTGGTTTAGTTTTGTTAAATTTAATTGTTGATTAAAAAAAAAAATTACCCTTTTATTTTTAGGTCTAAGGTTGGTGGTCTAATTTATCATTGCTTAGGGAAGCTCATAAGACGAAATATTTAAAACTGTACTTATTAGTTCAATTTATTTAAATAAGAATATATCTGAAACGCGTAATTGAATGTTAATAACGACTCATATTAGACTTATATTTTCGTAAATTTTAAATAAGAAAAGACCAACCGGACAAGTTACCTAAACCATCTATATATTGCATCTGGCTCTAAGTTTATTTATTACTTTTTTGCTATCGTTTTATTTGTTACATCACTTATTTAGGGGTTTCAAGTGACCCCATTTCTCCTTTTTCTTACTTTTGGCTCTATTTATTTTTAACCAGAGATCATATTTCATTGTTAGTTGCTCCGATTTTTTTTTCAAGTTAATTGAATCTTGCTACAGCTTACAACAGTATATGCCATCATGATTCCAATAGTCAACTTCTTCACCACTGATTTCAACATTTCCTGAGCTTCCAGTTACCTTTCTAGTCTTCATTCTCCATATATTTAATTCATGACCAAAGATGGACGTTTTCAAATTAATGTAACTACCTCAAGTCAATCGGCTACTTCACTTACGAGTTATCAAGGACAAATCACCATTTCCTTCACTAAATCAACATTGTAAAATTAAGTCTCCTTGTGTTATAATTAACCTCTATTGTCTCACTATTAAGTCCTGGCTGAAGGTGGGAGTCATTAATTAACCTGCATTTCTCAGCATACCTGTATTATCTATAGGCTGAATCAACGTAAACTTTTAAAGGTGACGTCTCATTAAGTGGTCACGTCTCATATGCTGTACCACTTGGGCCACTTAAATAGTGTGCCATCTTGTTTAAACTTTACCTAAACATATACAGCCATCAAACTGCCCAACTCTTGCCTATTGTCATGTATAAAGTGTAAAAACTAAAGCTTAATATTGTCCAAGCGTAAAAATAACAAAAGCTTAATATTGTCCAAGCGTAAAAATAACAAAAGCTTAACATTGTCCAAGCGTAAATTCTGCAAGAGCTTATAATCTGTAACAATACTTCATAAATCATTCACACAAACACACCAAATATTTCACCCAAACTAGAACTATTAATAGATTAACAAATGATAAAACTACTGGACGTAAAGACTTTATATAACTTGACTAAACACACAACAGCTGCTATTAATAAACCCCAATACAATACACTATCCAATTCCTCATCTTGCTCGGCCAACCCGTTAAGTGTACTCCCATTCCCTATAGTTGGTAGCTGATGAACAAGTTTATCATACGTAGTTAAAGATTGTACAAGTGTTATTAAAAATGTGGCGATTTGGTCAACATGTTGATTGGTATTCACATTGGTGTGATGGGTGTTGACGTGTTTGCACCATTATAGTTGTATTTTGCCGTTTTTATATTTCCTGTGCTTCTTTCCCAGCCATTTCCTGTCTTGAGGTAACATAGTTCATCTGTATGTTAACAGTAGAGATAAAATTTATTAGTTATTTTTCCAAATCATTTCAAATTACTGTAAAAACACTTAATTTTCATCTTAATTAAGTGTCAGGTGAACACTAAATTCCTCTTCAATGGTCAGGATGTTTAGCTTGTAACAAAGATGTCAAGTACAATACTTTTCATTCTTCAGATATTACAAATTAATCTTGGCAATATAATGTTAAAAATATTTGAAATCAGTGGAAATCCTCTAATTATTGCAGGTAGAGTCATGCCCAGTATCACAGCCGAGTCATGGAGGACAATCGGCGCCAGATATATTCATTTTTCTCACTATGACAGTTTTAAGTGGAGGGTAATATACCAGTCACCTACTTGAGCAGTCTTCTTCTCCCAGCACCTAAATAATTCCTCCATCTTTTCATGACTGCTACACATAAACATATCACTGCTCCAGACTGTGTTCAGTAGAGGGATAACTAAAAGGTAATAGATAATTACACAAGTATGGTGACTTGGTGTTTTATTGACCGTGCATCACAGCTCTCATGACCTGCAAATACAAAAAGCGAGTTAAGTCTACATCGTCACCAACCGTTCTCTTCCCAAACCAAGAATAACTATCCCCTGTGATGAACCAATGAAAGGATTTAGTTGTGGTGTTTACAAGTTTTATTAATAAATACACCAAGAGGTCTCGTACATTTTAACAGAGATTTCCGACGACGTCTCTTTTGGATATAATATCCGTGCCATACACCTAATACTATTTTCCTTAAACAAATGAAGGTTATTGGCGATACAGTCATAGTGTAATTGAAATACTCTACTTCAGCATCTCCTGTGCTAGTGCAACTAAAATTCTCTCTAGTCCTCATAACTGTCATTGGAACAAGCTGTAGGAATAAATAAAAGGTATAGATTATAATGAGTGACATCAACAAGTTATATGGGAGAGTGTAATGAAGGCAGGAGGCAAAGAATAGGGGAGAGAGAGGAGAGGGAAAGGCCGGCAGAGGGGTGGACAGGCTGCCGCCGCTTTCTACGGGCGGTTCTGTCTAAACCCTCGAGACTTCTTCTTTTCTTCACAATTATGTATACTAATATATCTTCCAAAAATTAAAAGAGAGGGCTAAAGCCCACTTATTTCTTACAACTAAAACTAACTACTGCTGGAAACCATGGAAAATACCTGGATATTCACAATATACAGGCAATAAAATGGTGTCCACCTGGAACCACAAGCTCAATGGCAGGTTGATTTCAGAACTCCAGGAGACACACACGGCTCAGACACTTCACGGCTCAGATCAGACGCGTCCGAGCTCTCAAGAGTAGACCACGATGCCGGCTCTCAGACGGGGCGGGCAGCGTGTACGGTACGTTCAATTGGCGAATAAGACAGCGAGCGCGGGTTGGTCAGAGCAACAACAACCGAGGCCTTATTGTCGCTATAGTCTCACCTAAATTAAATCAAATCAGCTACGTTCATGGGCATCTCTTCAATGGAGGTACGGTAGTGCTCTTCAATGTCCTGGAGGATTCTGGTGTCGTCAGCAGTCACAAAGTTAATGGCTACACCCTTTCGGCCGAAACGTCCACCTCGACCAATCCTGAGTAAAAAATAATAGTGTTAGTATGTACCAAGAAGAAGAAGTAGTAGAGGAAGAAGAGAAAGAAGGGGAAGAGGAATAGCTCATTCAGTTCTTTCCATCTTTTAACTTGCAATATACTACTGTACAAGTTTCACTATCTCCGTTACATATTTAAGTAATAATAATATTTCAAGCAAACATATTTGCAGTAATTGGAGGAAAACTCAATACAATATTTTTTTTAAACCAAGTTTTGTTACCCCCCAACCAAAACTAGAACACAAGGATCACTAATATTCCACTAATGATGGCTGCCATTTAAAGGTCAATCACCTCAAGAAACTACCTGTACTGTAGCCAACTCACCTATGGATGTAGTTCTCCCTGTTGGTGGGAAGATCATAATTGATAACTAGAGACACCTGCTGGACGTCAATACCTCGGGCCAACAAGTCAGTAGTGATAAGGACACGAGATGAACCTGAACGGAACTCACGCATGATCACGTCACGCTCCTTCTGGTCCATGTCACCATGCTGTGGGTGGGGACAGAGCAGTTAGTTATGTCACACCTTATACTATGACCTTATCCCTATCTTTCAAACTAGGGTTAATCACATCATGCTTTATAGCCTTATCAAACTAAGATAAACAGAGAAGGATTAAGAGCACCATCCCTTATCCCTATCAAATTATAATCAATTACTGTACATCACCCTTCCTAACTATCAAACGAAGTCATTCCCACCACCCCCGAAGAGATGGACAAACAAACAGAAAACCTCCACGTCCCCCCCAACAGTGTACGGAGGGCATAAAACTGCACCACAACTCACCATGGCAGACACTGTGAAATCCCTCTGGTGCATCTTGTCTGTGAGCCAGTCCACCTTCCTGCGGGTGTTGCAGAAGATGACAGCCTGAGTAATGGTTAGGGTCTCGTACAGATCACAGAGCGTCTCCAACTTCCAGTCTTCCTTCTCTACATTAACATAGAACTGTTTGATACCTGTGGGGAGGACACACCAGTTAACTTTACCCATTTAAAATAGCGACTCGGCTATTATATTTAAGACAGACGGACTTGCACATACAGAGATCGAGTTACTTGAAGGAATAGACCAGTTGGTTAACTTGAGTACTCACCAATAGATTGAGTTGCACTAACACACACACACATCAAGTTTGATCAATGGGCAAAAAGCCGGCTTTACACACATGAATTAAATTTAAACACTGTGAACCTAGAATGACTTTCAATAATCATTCACAGCCATAGTCTGTGTGCTCGCTCAAATAGTGAATCTTTATGGAGAGGTTCCAGTCAATTTCAAAATGAACACCGACTCCTGTTGTCTCGGTAGTGCAGTCAAAATCGTTCTGTTGTATATTGCTTAACAAAATCGTAGATACTTTTTTGGAGTGAGCGTACATTACCACAGAGCACCCAGCAGCTACAACTTACCTTCTAAAGTAAGTTCCTCCTTCTTGACCAAGATGGTAATTGGTTCACGCATGAACTTTGTTGTGACGTCCATGACATCAGCGGGCATGGTAGCCGAGAGGAGCACCACCTGGACATCGTTGGGGAGGAAGCGGAACACGTCATAGATCTGATCCTTGAAACCACGAGACAACATTTCATCAGCCTCATCTAAGACGAACATCTTAATGTTTTTGGGATCTGAAAAGTACAAAAAAAAAATTAAAACCCTGTCACTAACAACACTTGGGGAAAATTTATCATACAATCCTACACAAACTGTAATTTGAAATAATACATTTAAGTGTCTGCCTCAAGAAATGAATTAATAAGCATAGGATATGTTAAAAGTCCCCCCACACACCATATTCTTCACCCACATGAATACAACTGTACATATTTCAATATCATGCAGACTAATTATCAAACACCCCAAGCTACTCACAGTACCTTTTATCATGAAATTACCAAATCTATAACATAACCTTCTACTCTCCCCCCAACAAGACCTTGACATACACGAGAACACAGGTAAAAGGGACTAATCAGCCTGTCTATCTAATCTCCGTAAAAAATAAAAATAAACAGTACTTGTATCACACACTCACTTAGCACTCTACGGTTAATCATATCAAATACGCGGCCGGGGGTGCCCACAATGATCTGAACGCCCATCTCCAGGCGGCGCATATCTTCACGGAGATTGGTGCCTCCGATGCAAGCGTGACAAGTTACATTCATGTAGTCACCCAGGGCGAGAACCACCTTTTGGATCTGAAATGCAGGTACAAATCACCTCATTATACTGTACATATATATTTTAAAGTTATTTGAATATTTTATAAAAGTTAACCCTGTAAGTGGGACACAGACATACGGTACATGATTCAATTACTGGTGGTACAATACTGGAACAGTTAATGGTATGAAGAACAAAACCAACAAGTACAAACAGTTATAATGTCAGAAATAATGACTAAACCATTTATTTTATAGAAGACAGGAACCAAACAAATCTTTCTTATCAGAAATTACCACGTGACCAGTGGGTTAGATCTCTGTGTCTGATAAAAATTTTCATGGTAGTTCTCCAAAACTACTCAAAGCTGATGTACTGCCGCCAGTTAGGACCCACCTGTTACACCAACTGGTGTAAGGAAGGGCATGGTATGGTATGGAAGGGTTAGGTTCAGGTAATCATCACGCTGCCAACATTAAACCTCACCTGCTGCGCCAACTCTCGGGTGGGTGCCAAAATTAGGGCCTGTGTCTCATTGCTCTTGACATCAATCCTCTGGAGGATGGAGATGGAGAATGTGGCAGTCTTGCCAGTACCAGACTGAGCCTGGGCAATAGCGTCATGGCCCTTGATGCAAGGCAAGATGGCGCGCTGCTGGATAGCAGATGGCTTCTCAAAACCATAGGCATAGATTCCTCTCAACAGAGATTCTCCTAGATTCATATCATCAAAACTTGTGGCAACCTGTAAATATACACAACATTAATAACTGCTGTCTACCTACTACACCTTCAAACTAAACATTGACTCCAGGCAGTAAAACAAAACACCACCATTGCCTTGTTCCTTCTGGCAATGTATGACTTAACTCCGTAAGTATATCAATGGCCGAGAGGGAATTAATCTTGCATCTCTTGCTCTGCTCAGGTTAAACTAAAACTGAACAGTATTAGTAGATGCCCGAGACACGGGGGTCTACCGGGACCCCACTTTTAATATTCTATTTCACTAAGTCAGACAATTTTATTAAGGCCATCACTCCTTGGGTAAGACAGCCTTATAACATGGCCAGTAATACACACCTCAGTCCAGCTAGACTCGATGACGCCATCGACGTCCATGCCCGCTGGGCCGTCATAATCCTTGGGTTCACTGTTGCCTCCGCCACTGTTGCCACCTGAGCCCCAGTCCTCATCCCTATCCCTAGTGGAGAAAAAACTGCCGTTAGCTCGACGTTCCCACTCGGGGAGGACCTCCGCGACCAATTTTGGTAAGTTAAAACTGTGGCGACGTGACACACAAGATGCTAGGCCTTTAATGTCACCACCAACTCTTGTGAGTTAACAAGTTCCCCCATTAACCCCTGATAATAACTCCAGCCACTAAACATATACAATATTCTTCATGAGTCAAAAGCACCACAACTCTTAATAAAAACTCCCATAGCTTCTCACTCCAGGTAATATATGCATGTATATACATATATGTATGGATGTTTATACAGGTATATATATATATATAATTTCAACACAAGGTAAGCATTAGACATTTTCTCAAACACATAGTATTAGTAAAAGACAATTTATATATATATATATATCAATAGTTACCTTGTTTCCCCTTCTCTGCAAGAAAGATAAATAACTCTTTAGAAACAATTACATTACATTATACAGTATAGAGCAGCAGCAGCAGCAGCAACCTACTAACCTCGTTATACACTGTACAATATCAAGTTATTAACCACAAGAACTTGCACAGTTATCATCAGTCATAGCCTAACCTATGAGTACAGTGATGGACTCATTCATAATTGGTTAAGAATTAACTAAGAAACTTAAATCTGGGTTACTGGTATGGCTACGATGGTTACCTCGTGTCCCCTTCCCTGTGGGGCAAGAGAAAGTATTTTAAAATGATGTAGAGCACTTTACAGGTGAGGTCTACCAATTAACTACCATCTGCTCTCCAGTACAACACAGACTAAATATTTCACTATGATCATCAGTAAGTCAGATATTTGTCCCAGCAGGAAACCACTAATAAGAGCCTTATAATTAAGATCCTTTACTCCAGGGCCTTAACCACCATGGTGGTCCCCTCCTTAAGAAGGTTCCTCTCAGTTTATCCTACGCCAACATTACCTTGGTTCCCCATCCCTGTTGGGAAGAAAAAGTTCAGTTTAGAAAACGACAAGTCTTAATAGAATTACGTCCGCAATCTAACCAATACAGTACACAAGTTAACTATTTTAACATGCTTTAGCTGCCCCAAGGCCATCCTCTCAGCTCAAGCTTTGTTTTTAATACAACCTGAGTTCAACATCCAATTACAATGAGCTTAAAAAAATTAAATAATAAACGGTGTTCCATTATTGGTAATATTGTAATTATGTCAAAGCCACTATACAAGGCCATTCACATCACAGAAAGCATATTAGCATTTCTTTATGAAGCTTACGAGTGGTATATGCAAGACAAGATTCTGACCAATCTTAACAATACCACAAACAAGTCAAAATTGATCCAGGATTAACTTATACTAACTCTAAGTCTGGCAGCCAAACTAGGCGAGTAAGCCAAGTAGTCGGTGTAACATAATACACAACAAATTAGATCAAAACGTTGAGACGGCAAAGTAAGGTTAAGACAATTACTTATGAGGGTGATGGCACGATCTCCTCAAGACTAGAAACTCTCGCTTATTTCACCCGACGATTAAACGCTAAATGGAGGATTAGGTTAGGTTAAGCGCGTGTAATCGTCGGGTGATATAAGCGAGGACTCCTAACCTACGAGAGCCCCAATGGCATGAACACATCAAGGTTTCTCCCTGAATTGTATTGGTCAGGGAGATTAAACACTAAATATTAATGTTAACTCGACACAAAAAAGTAAAAACACACCACACAGGCTAATTAAACCCGGTGTTTAGTAACCGCTTAGTTACACTTATATTAAAATACAAAAAAAAAAAAAACAAGTAAAATATTTAGTTGAAAAAAACTTTGTATGAAATGAGGTCAAGTTTAATAATTATCGTAGCAACAGCAGCTCTGAAGGGGCAAAACGAGACTAGTATGGATGGGCTAAATATATAAATAACAAAAACAATAATAATAATAGTACTAACAATAATAGTAACAAGAGAAACAATAGTATTACAAACACAAGTTACAACAATCTAAGGTCAAATCAAGTGAAAATCTAGTTTAAAATGCCAAGTATATAAACTTAATTGATGGGCGGGGTCAAGAGTGCGCTACACAACACCAATGTACTACACACATTAATGGAGATTCATTGTTGACTAAAATTCTAATTAGGATTCACAATACAAACTTAAGATTAGTTTCTCCCTCAGTTCTCTTGCTACGTCCCTCACCAAGTTTCTTTATTAATCAGGCTAATGAATTCTCGGGTTACCTGAAGAAGATCCACCCCTGCTTATTTCACCTGAAGATTGACCACCCTAATGCAAACCTAACCTAAATTATCCTATCTTAACCTTACTATCCTATCCTTACCTAATTATCCTAAGCTTACCTAACTATCCTATCCTTACCTTACTATCCTATCCTTACCTTACTATCCTAACCCCATCCCCACAAACAGCATTAGGGTGGTTAATCTTTAGGTGAAATGAGCTGGGGTGCAGAGTCTTCATGTGATCCAAACACTCTCGAAAAACTGATCAGCGACGGACCTAATACTCGACCATAATTGACTGGTATCGTACGCCTGCCGTCGAGTTGTACCTCAAACCATAAAATAAAAGCTAAAACAAATCAACCTCCATAAACTTAACAATATGATCCACTTAATATGAAAGTTACTTGAAGGTAAATGTCACCTCACTGAAGCTCCAATGTCCGTTAAGTGTACATCCATAAATGGTTTCTGAAGATAAAAACTACAGTAATTCAGTGTTACAATATCAAGCTCTGCATTAACTTGATACTAATTTAATTGTATTTATCCTTGCAACTGTCGCAACTTGTAGCGTCCGACTGTTGTTGCTATGCAGAGGTCGACTGGTTGCTAAAGTTAACTGGTAACAGGACACACTTGGCAACCAGTTTCTAATACTGTACTACTGCTACATAATCTAGCATTGGCTAGTTGCCAAGTCACCTCAACACTACAGTATACTAGCTACATAAACTACAGTCGAGAAAAGTACAGTACACAGCAGTGCTGTCAGTGGACCAATTCAGACCCGCCCTCCGCCCCAACTTATTTCACCTGACGTTTGAACACTTGAATAAATAAGACAATGATGTTATATAATGTACATAATGCCTATAATTCTCTACTTCAATAAATAAATATGACAATTGATACCATACCTATAGTCAAAATAATCTTGTACTTTCATATTTACTATTATTATAATGAATGTCTATAATTCTGTACTTCAATATCATAAAAAAAGAGATAGTAATATGTCTAATACTGAGCCACAGTTCAAGTCAATAAATTTATAATAATACTCAACTAAGCTAATACTTATACGCGTATAATTGTGTTTCCTCTGTGGCTATGTTGTGAAGCTTGAGGTCCTGTTGTTGGGGCATCATGCAGCCTCAATCACTACCCAGTACAGTACACAGTGAAAACTCCACATAACGGACGTCTCCCTCCTTATTATCCAATAGTCTGTCTCGCCTCTAACGGACCCTCGATATAATGGACTTTCTTCTCCATAGTCCATTAAATAGAGGTTTCACTGCACAATACTCTATAAAACACATCATTCTGCTGCTACTATAGAGTGCGGTCGACGGGGATATCTTTTAATCTAACCTAACAATTAACCTAAAATACTAAATCATGAAAATTTTTATATTTTCTAAAATTATATATTGAAAAAATTGTAGACTGAAGCCTATATATATATATATATATATATATATATATATATATATATATATATATATATATATATATATATATATATATATATATATATATATATATATATATATATATATATATATATATATATATAATACGTTGTACACCGCACACTATGGTATATATATCTCTGTAGACCGCACACTATAGTAGCGCCTACGTTATGAAAAACCAGAATATGGAACAATATTTGTAAGGTAACAGCAGAACTAGCGTGAGTATCAGTGGCATGCCATATAGCAAGCCTCAGATCTAGGAAAAATTCTCAAACCAACACGAAATCTAAATTAATCAATAGAATAAAATTAAAATCTTGTATAAAATTCAAAAATTGATGAAATATTATAGAAAATGTAGCAGAATTAGTTAAATGTCATTAATAGCCATAAAAGAAGATTAAATCATGCAAGCAACACCTCTATATAAAACTTTGGTGTCTCGGTGAATGCAGCCGATCCGTCGACCAAGATCCGGCCCACACCTCATCCACCTTGGTAATCGTCACAACTTAGGATGCAGCAATTGATGGTTGGAAAGCATCACCTCACACTCAATTAATTCATCTCTGATCCATTTTATTTTAATGTTCAAGAAATATTTTCATCTAGAAATATTAAACATTGAATAGAAAGAAAAAAAGATCAGTAATGAATCCACTGAAAATTGCTGTGGGATACACAATCCATCAACTTGTATCAATCCTGACAATCGCCACCGGACAAGAGTGGGCGGAAACCAGTCGGCGGATCTATTAACAAAAATACTCAACGCACTAATATAAAAAGGTTAATTAGCAGATCACACAAAATAAAAAACTGCTGTTAAAGTAATGGTGATCAAAGTGCGTTACCTGAACTCTTCATCCCTGTGGACAAGGAAAAAATTAGAAAACATAAACCATCTTTATCACAACTTAAAATATTTCTGGTTCAAAAACTGAACCTGTAATGACACTAAGAGTATAGTATAGCAATAGGGTTAAATATATATACTTGACGTTCTTCCCCTTCAAAAGTTGTATCATGCAGAACAAAAATAATTGATTTACCTGTATGTACAACCTTTGTGAAAGTCATACATTACGAGTTATTATACATTAAATAGCCCCATTATGCGAGTTATTATACATTAAATAGCCTCATTATAGTTTCATTATTCACTATATACCCTCACTAAGGTTTTAACAAGACATTACCAACACAGTTAAGTAAATACCCATGTCGAGTTTAGTATAAGCTTTGCCAAGATACGACTTCATGTAAACCATTGTTAAGAGCCTCAACGACAATATTTACAGGAGAACAAGGTAGTTGACCAGCTGTTGAGAACAATACTGTTATTGGTGACACGACTTAACTCTCCAACCACTAACTGATCAATCTCTACAGCCTGTGAGAGGTGCTTATATAACAAGGCAGCATTCAATAATCCAACCAAATTGTTTCAACCTGAGTTGGCTAAACCGGCCACCATTCCTTACTGGCGATCACTGGCATACTTGTCTCCTGTCTGGGTGAATTATTTTTATTTACTGATGCACACAACTGTACTTGGACCACATCCATGCCAAATAATTCAGGAAGTCTGGTGCGTCCACTCTCTCACCAGTGTCACCAACTACACAGAATAAATTAATGCCACTTCCTATATGAAAACCTAACTGCTTCAAGCGCATCATACTGTAGTAATAATAAGTTTTAGCTAAAGATCTACCAAAAAAATATCAAGACCATAGAATTCTGCTTCAATAAAGTAAGTATATCATTCATTAACCTTGAAATCTACACCAGGCATTAAGAACCAAAATGACTTGGGTTATATGGTAGTAAAGGAAACAGAAGACTTTGTTCCTAATGTTGTCACCAAGGATAAATTAGTTCAGAGCTGATGTGAAGTAGTGAAGTTATTCTGGTATATTTAACCAAGCACTATTGAAAAAAAAAAAGACCTCACAGATACCTCATAAGTCTCACACATAAATGATACTCTGAACAGGAGATCCACAATGACTCTTCCACTTAGTAATGGGTTCAAAGGTTCACCCATAATAGAGAGCTAACTTCATAGGTAAATTCAGATCTACACCGACCAGTAAAAATAACTGAAAATCACAAATCAATTCAAACCATCAGTAAGTGTGCTGCCTCGCTGAGATAGTCACTTGGCGCCCCGACACAGTCCTGTATATACACGATCACAGATTTTCTAACGACTAACAGCAATTTGGGGACCTTTTCCCGGGTATTATGTATTCAGCAAACAACAACCTACGACCCCATAACTAAGGTGATTATACAGTACTGTCTTTGACGGGGATTATGGTGACACAGCAATAGTTACTTTTGGGGAAAATAAATGCCCAGGTTAGGTTAAGTTAGGTCCAATTCTTTTTGTTATGTTTTGATCGTTATGTCGGTGTCTACGGAATAAGTACCCCGTTTCGCTTCCAATTTAAAATACCAAAAACAAACTAGAGATCTGTAGTTTGTGGTGATAACATTAACAACACACTTATTCAGTCAGACATAACCTAAGAAATTCTCTCTCAATACCTCTGGGCTAAGTTAAGTTTGGTTCATCCAATTCAAAGTTTACATGTGCACTTATTAACTATATATCAAACTACAGCACTTAAATGTTTTGTAATAAGCTGGACAACAAAACCATCTGCGATTTTAATAAACGAACGAGTTTCAAAAATTACTTGAGACTTACCTTCAGGATGACAACGAACAGAAAATCGTTGATCTGTACTTTATTTAAGCAAGAACGAGCCACTTTACATTATCAACTTGCTTTTCTTACTATGGGGTTTGTTCCTATTACTGTGATATCATTTACAATTATATAGTTTGTATTTAAACTTGTGTATACTGAATCAAGCGGATACTTATACGACTTCACCAAATATACTGTACATCGATCTATCATTAACCAGAACCATAGTGAACCTCCACATAACGGAATCCTCTCTCCATATAATACATTAGTTGCGGGTTTAACGCACCCTCAATATAATGGAGTTTCATCTCTATATAGTTCATTATATATAGTTTTCACGTCTAACGCACCCTCAATATAATGAAGTTTCATCTCTATATAGTTCATTATATATAGTTTTCACGTCTAACGCACCCTCGATATAATGGAGTTTCATCTCTATATAGTTCATTATATATAGTTTTCACGTCTAACGCACCCTCAATATAATGGAATTTCCTCTCCATATAGTTCGTTAAATAGAGGTTTCACTCTACACAGCGTAGACAGTCGAACAGCGACTGATACTAAATTTATTTGTAACCTAACCTATACTATACCAAAATTAAAACTCGCAGATATTTCTTTTTGCAATCAATTTCTTCAGTCTTGGTACACTTTATATATACAAGTCGTAACAAATAATCGCAAGCACCTTAACTCGGAAATTTACCAATGCATTAAATCTGTCGCTAATGGTGCACCCAGAGCAGCACATGAAGATTAGGACCCCCCCCCCCTTTAGCTTACTTCACCTGGCGATTAAACCTAACCTATCCCGTATAAAGATAATATTAAGGTGTTTCAGGTGATATAATCCGGGTTACCTAATCTTCAGGTGATCCCCTTACAAAATCATTCTCAAACCTAGGGGAATTACTGCCTGATTAAATGAGAAAAACGCCATAGGGAAATATTCACTATTAAATATTTTCCCATTACACAGTTAACAGTTAAGGACAACCACCTCAGGAAATTGCCACTTAGAAAATATTGTCCAACTTCTCAAGACAAAGAAAACCCTAATTTACCCTTTAAAAAATGCCACTTTAGGACAATATTATTTCCCCCAAAGCAAAAATAAACTTCTCACTTTAAAGGAACAAAAGATCCCTTAAACCACCTGAATTATCTTCCAATTTAGGCCCAAATAATGTTCACACTGTCCCCTAAAGTAACAAAAGAACCTTAAAAACACCTAAAAAATTCCCCTGAAGAACATAACTCCCCTTAAACAAAAAATAAATTCACATTTGTACCTTAAAGTAACAAAAGAAAACCTTATACCTTAAAAATATCCCTGAAAGGACCACATAACTTCCCTTAAACCCCCCAAACACTCCTAAAACAGACCCAAATATCTTACTATAAAAGGACTAACCAATATTAAGGTTTACACAACATCTAAAAGTAAATTAAATAAATTAGGTACAAAAGTTGTATTTCAAGTAATGGTGTAACACATAATTTAAAACGAATTATACCCCTATACTAGCCTAAATTATATAGACCTTCACTATAACATCAATTATATAGCTAAATAATCACTTCTTTGGGTATAAATGACTTACAAATGAGCTTTAAAAAAAGAATTATAGATATGAGGATAATTATTCATCTCTTTTGGCAAAATTTGGTTAAAATTTTGGGTTTAATTATATTTATTAGAACGTTCTAGTAATTTAGGGATGAATAAGATATTGCATAACATTAGGGAAATAACCGGCGGCTTCACTTAGACATTTGTGAAGAAAATTTAATATACTGGACGGTGTTGAGAATTGACTTGAGAGTTATTTAAGGGTTTCAAAACACGAGGGTAATTAATTCTGGTACTAAGACCACCAAAAAGTGTCATAGGGAATAATATTTGGGAGTTTGCCAAAAAATAAGATTACTGTTCATACCACTGTCACTTTTATCCTTATTAATCATTTTCTCCTTAATATAAAGAGAGAATCACCCACCATGGAGATAATTGAGTTGTTAGGTACCATAGATAATTGAGTTGTTAGGTACCATAGAGGTGTATAGAGGTAGATGAGTTAGAGGATAGTTAACAATATGTAGCCAGCTGATCGCCTCATAGTGACCCGCTATCCGCCATTACCCCCACCACCACCTATCTCACCTTAACCTCCATCTACCTCAACAATAACCATCAATATAAGATGATAACCAAACTAAGGTAAAGAATCACTTGTTAAACTTAGCTATAAGAAGATAAAAGAGAGTGTGTGAAGCTCGGGAATGACTTACTTCTGGTGGTCGTATTTGTCGGACATCTTGACTATGACAGTGAGTCCCTTCAAAGGACCCCAGCATGTGTGGACCGCATGAGAGTATCACTACGCCTTCACTCCTCACGCACCTCATGCCTTCCTCTCACTCAACAACCATCATTATTATCACAAAATATAACTCATTTATTATTATATTGTTTAATTATGTATTTAGGGAGTAATTATTATTTTTCTAAGGGACTAGTTTATATAATGCAATCCCATCATGGCGGAAGATGTCGTCATTGCTGAGGTCTCACTGGCGGTAAATTTAAATGTACTTAATTTAATATTATATTATATTTCTATCATTACTCATCAATTTTATCATTATAGTCACGTATATTATATATAAGTGGCTATATTATCTTAGAAATAAGCCAATTAAGCGTAAATTCATCGCTATTTTGAGAAAATATTAAGTTTGGCAGAACATCAATAATGATTTTCCACTACAGATAAATTAAAAAAAAAAATAATTCATATTGACTATTGAGCCAAATATCTGTTGTATTAATTCCATCATAATGTTACAAATATAAAACAGACAAATATATAGTTTTTTACCCCCTTATCTGCCTATGTACTGTGCTATAGAGTTATTTAAAGATTCCTATTGTTACTATAGATACAAATAAGAGATACTACTTTATCTCTTAGTGAAAGGTGAGATAAGGAAGAGATAGGAGATTCTTCACATAATAAGAGATTCTCATTTATTTGGGGAAGAAACATGAACGTAAGGAGAATTAAAGCAAAATAGTAATAATTGGGGAAAGAGAGAGAAAAAGAGAAAACACACACGTCTGGGAGATAGAAAGGTAGAGAAAAGAAAGAGAAAATGAGAGTGAGAGGAGAAAGAGAGCAAACATTCACCAGGGCCCACACCCACACCCACACCCACCCACCTTCTCCTTCCCGCCCGGTAAACCCATCCACTTGAGTGACGTCATCATGTGGCTGGGTTGAGAGTTATTACGTCACTCAATCATCACCATCCGGTCTCTAGTGCTTCTGGGTAACATTCCAATGGCTCTCACCTCTCAATACTCCCACACCATAGTATTCTGAGAACCATTAGCACCATTGGACACCCCCTTCAAAGTCGTAGGATAGTAATATTGTACCATTGTTTTTCGCGGAACAAAATTGCTCCCAGCCTCAGTTACGTTACCACTGCACCATTGTATTTCATGGTAGAATCTTTAGTTCCAATGGTATTATAGATAGATAGATAGATAGATACTTAATCTGACCCGACAAAGCTCAACCTAACCTAACCAAGATTAACCTAACCTACCCTAACCTGGCCAAGATTAACCAAACCTTACATAAACCTAATCCAACCAAACCTATAATAAACTTAACCTAACCTAACCTAATCCCCCCAGGTAGTATTAGGGTAAAGGTTAACAGACAGACAGACAGACAGACAGACGGATACAGCCATACCTGTTAACTTGTCTGGACTTTTCCGATACCCTGAACATGATCTTGACTTCCACTTCGTTCATAGCTCCTGTTCTCCTGTTCAGTGTTCGTTTTGTTATGTCTGTGTGGCTGGATACCTGTGAAAATATCCATGAGTTATATATTAATGTCTAAAATATCTCTAAATAAGACATAACGAATTATAGGTGTCATGTATATACGATTTAACATTGAGAAAAACGGAAAAAAGTGGAGGATGCTCCATTCAAAAACAACCACGAACATTTAAATAATCTTTAAAGTAAACCCAATCACCCAAACCTAACTAAACCAGAACTACCTTTAGATAATTAGGTTTAAACACATTAGGTTAGGCTAGGTTTGGTTTACGCCATCTAGCTTAAATGGTATATTGGTTTAGGGATCATGTTCGTGGTTAGGTCTTTAACATTCACCGTCCAGCATCTACCCTTGACTTGGATCACATTCATGACGTCACAAACCACGCCTACATTATCAACAAGGACACGCCCTTTACTTATTAGTACACGCCTGTATCATCTATTAATACACCCCTATTATCTACGTATACCGATATTAGTGCAAATTTTGTCCCCTAATTTGTGTTAAGAGAAGGTATCTAATCAAGGTAGAGTCTGTTTTAAGAACATAAGAATGGAGGAAACTGCAGCGGGCCTATTGGCCCATACTGGGCAGTCCCGTTTACACCCATCCCCTATTGCTCATATAAGCATCCAACCTGTGTTTGAAGCTATTCAGCGTATTCGAGTTAATGATGATATTTGGTAACTTGTTCCATTCATCTACTACTCTGTTTCCAAACCAGTGTTTACCTATTTCACGCCTAAATCTAAATTTGTCTAATTTAAAACCATTGTTACGAGTTCGCTCCTGGTTGGATGGTTTGAGTACCTTTGTAATGTCCTTTGTTTTAGCCCTGCACCTTCCCACTTATCACACCTCTATCAGGTCGCCCTCGCTCTACATTCTCTCGAGGGCGTGCAAATTAGATGCTTTAACCTGTCTCTGTACTCCAAGGTTCTAATGCCCGGGATTAGTCTTGTGTCATTCTCCTCTGAATTCTTTCCAAGGATTCTATATCCGTCTGTAATACGGTGACCAGAACTGAACTGCGTAATCCGGGTGTGGTCTCACAAGAGCAAGACTACAGTTTTAGGATGACCTCGCTGGTCTTGTAACTAACACTCCTTTGTATGAACCCAAGTACTTTATTAGCCTTGTTACGGCAAAAACACATTGTTTACTTGGCTTAAGGTTCCTACTTATCATTACTCCTAAATCTCTCTCGCAGTCGGACTTCTCTATGGCATCGTTGTTCATCTGGTATCTGGTTTCCCTGTTTACATCTCCTATACTGAGTACTTTACATTTGTCCACGTTGAATTTCATCTGCCATTTTCAGACCATTCGAAATTTTTTTTAGATCTTCCTGTAGTTTTGTGGAGTCCTCGTCAGATTTAATAACACGTCCTATTTTAGTGTCATCAGCAAATTTGCTTATGTTGCTGTCTATGCCGATATCTATGTCGTTTATGTATATAATAAATAATAATGGTCCAAGTACTGAGCCTTGGGGAACTCCACTTGTGACGTTGCTCCAATGGGACTTAAAGCCATTAATGCTCACTCGCTGTTTCCTGTCCTGTAACCACGCCTAATCCATTTAAGGATATTACCTTTGATGCCATGTGCTTCTACCTTTCCTAATTAGTCTTTCGTGGGGACTCTGTCGAAGGCTTTGCTAAAGTCGAGATATACCACATCATAATAATTGCCCTCGTGTCCACCGATTCGAAAACTGATGAAAAGAATGTTCTTACGATACAGTTAGACATGGAACCAGCTTGTGAAGCCATGCTGGGAATCATTGATCCAATCGGTGCTTCTCAGGTGATTTCGAATAGAGTTTGAAATGATTGCTTCCAGTAATTTGCCTACTATTGATGTTGTTAGAATGATTGGGCAGTAGTTAGAGATAGTAGTCCTCCCATTCTTGAAAATCGGTATTACATTTACGCTATCCAGGATTCTGGTACTACACCTGTTTTTTAAGGACATGTTAAACAACTGCTAAGGGCATACTAAGCTCTTCCTTACATTCCTTTAATACTCTGGCAAATATCTCATCGGGACCAGGTGACTTATTAGGCTTTAGTTTGTCTATTTGCTTACTAACATCGTTACTAGTCACTACTATCTCGCTTAATTTGTTTTCTTCACTATCTCTGAATAGAGTCGGTGCCCCGGGTATCATGTTTAAATTTTCGGTGGTGAAAACTGTTGAAAAATATTTATTCAAATTGTAGCTCATTCCTCTGTCGTTAACAGTGAGCTCGCCGGTGTCTGACCGTATTGGTCCAATCTTTTCTCGTGTTTTAGTTTGATACCTAACAACTGCATTTTATCTTAATTCTCACAAACCCAGAACCAATATTCTTCGTATAGAACCTAAGAATTCGACCTTCTGACTTATTCAAAATGTTCCGAGATTTACCTAAATTTAGCGGATTGGTGAGTTCCTTGAAATGTTGGAATTTCCTATTTCTGGAGATGTTATCGTTCATATATGAGAACTACATTGGCTTCCAGCTTTCAGTGGCTTTTTTGGATGGCTCTTGGCTATCGTGGAATTACAGTTTGTATACCTGCAATGAAATACAATAGATTACCTTAATATGTACTCTGTCCACGACCATAATTAATAGTTAAATACATGATCATGAATACAATATACATGCATATCACAGGTTAATAAATCAGTAATGGTTTATATATTTAATGAGAGAGAGAGAGAGAGAGAATAAAAATGATCGCAGTCTTATTTTCGTCTGTCTGTTTTTATCTCTTTTCTTTCTTTCTCTATCTATTTATCTATCTATCTACTATGTGTATCTTTCTTCCTTCCTCTTACAGTCATGAGAGAGGGGGTGTTGAGGGCAGGGGAGGTGGGGGTGTGTCAGAGGGGGCGAGGGTAGGGGGTAGGGGTGTCAGAAGGGGGCAGGGGGAGGCAGGATGGGGGAGTGTCAGGGGAGAGAGGGGCAGGGGTGGGGGTGTCCAGAGGGGGCGAGGGGGTAGGGGCAGGGGTGTCAGAGGGGGCGAGGGGCAGGGGTGTCAGAGAGAGGGGGGCGAGGGGGCGGGGGTGGGGTCAGAGAGGGGGGTGAGGGGCAGGGGTGGGGGGGTGTCAGAGGGGTGAGGGCAAGTGCAGGGTGTCAGAGAGAGAGGGGAGTGAGGGGCAGGGGTGGGAGTGTCAGAGAGGGGGTGAGGGGGCAGGGGTGGGGTGTCAGAGAGGGGGCGAGGGGGTAGGGAGGCAGGGGTGTCTAAGAGAGAGGGGGCGAGGGGGTCAGGGGGTGTCAGCAGAGAGAGGGGGCAGGGGGCAGGGGTGGGGGTGTCAGAGAGAGGGGTGAGGGGGGGCAGAGGTGGGGTGTCAGAGGGGGTGAGGGGCAGGGGTGGGGGTGTCAGAGAGAGGGGGTGAGGGCAGGGGGTGGGGGTGTCAGAGAGGGGTTAGGGGGCAGGGGTAGGGGTGTCAGAGAGGGGTGAGGGGCAGGGGTGGGGGTGTCAGAGAGAGGGGTAGGGGGCAAGGGTGGGGTGTCAGAGGGGTGAGGGGGCAGAGGTGTCAGAGAGAGGGGGTGAGGGGGGGCAGGGGTGGGGGTGTCAGAGAGGGGGGCAGGGTGTCGGAGAGAGGGGGGGGCGAGGGGGTAGGGATGGGGGGTGTCAGGGAAATGGGGGTGAGGGGGTTTATCTAGGTCACTGTCTATGCCAACCATTACTGTCACTGTCACTCCACCCCCCTAACACTACTTTCTCTGTCACCTCCCCCCCCCTCTTCTCCAGACCGTGAGAGCAATACAAATCGTCTTTATATTTTTGGGGGTTGAGACTTTAAAGAATAATATAGTGTTTAAAATTACCGACAGACAGAGATACTCACACAGAAAAACCGATACATACACGCACATACACACACACACGGACAGGGAGGGGTAGGATCGGACGGGTGAAGCGAGGTGGTCCGTCGGTGGTTGACCCTAGCAGTCCGTCTGTCTGACTGGCTGTACCTCTTACCCTTACCTCTCCAGTAGTTCTCTGTCTCTCTCTCTCCTCCCTTACCTACTTTATCTCTCATTCCCTACTTTCTCTATCTCCCTCTCTTTCTCCTCACTCTCTTCATACCTTCTCTCTTTCTCCCCAACACACTAGAGCATCTTCCTGCTGTGGGAGACAGATCAAGTTCTCTCTCCGCTGTGTGTGAGGTCATAGTTTTGTAGGTCACATCAGATCACAGTGGGTTAGAGAGTCAGGTCAGGTCATATTTGGCCAGAACTTACTACCCGTTCACAAACACACATGTACACACCCTCACAGAAGCACGTACACACCCTCTCACACACACCATGTACACACACATACCTGTATATCTGCCCTGTGTAGCTTGAGGAGTCGACAATAATCATCTTATAAATCATATTAATTTTATTTTAACTCTATACACGGAAAAATTTGCATACATATATATACATAATAACGAAGACTAAGTTCACTACGTATATTAGTTATAGACATACACAAATATACATACAGACTAATTGTGAATACTATATTAGGTCAATACCACCAATCACATGTGAGGGGTGGGCAGGTGGGTAGGTTGAAGATGGTGGAGGTGGGTTGGATCAAGACACAAGGTGGGTTGGTTAAGGACAAGAGAGTGGGTGGGTTGAGGACAAGAGGGTGGGTGGGTTGAGGACAAGAGGGTGGGTAGGTTGAGGACAAGAGGGTGGATGGGTTGGGGACAAGAGGGTGGGTGGGTTGAGGACAGAGGGTGGGTGGGTTGAGGACAGGGTGGGTTGAGGGACAGGGGTGGAGTTGAGACAGGGTGGGTTGAAGACAGGGTGGGTTAAGGACAGGGTGGGTTGAGGACAGAGGGTGGGCAGGTTCAGGACAGAGGGTGGGCAGGTTCAGGACAGAGGGTGAGCAGGTTCAGGACAGAGGATGGGTGGGTTGAGGACAGAGGATGGGTGGGTTGAGGACAGAGGATGGGTGGGTTGAGGACAGAGGATGGGTTGGTTCAGTCATACTAAAAATACTACACAGGTTTCTACTATAGCCAAGGACAAAACACCATCTATGACATCACAAACAAACGCAAATTCATAACGAACAACAAAATAAAAACACTAAACAGGTACAAAATTCACAAAAAATACAGAATTTACAAAAAAAACTCAAAACTCAAAATACTGAACTCAATAAAAAACAAAATCTATTCTAAAAACAAAAGAGCATCACAGTTATATATTCCAACCATTTCAAAACAATAGATATACTAAATAGGAGTTATATCACTACTATCTTCTAACCTCTATTAAATTATATAATAATATGTCACTACAAAAATAGTACGGTATCAAAATATTTTCTATACATTTCGAAATATTACAGAAAATAAAAATTCAATTCTTGGTCAATTCAATACAAACCTTATCAATAGTGAGATTACTTGTCTGTTTATATATATTTAAATATTATGTACCTGTATATACGTCTAACACCTTTATATTAATTCTATTTAATTTTCATTCGTTTATTATTTTTATTATTACAAGAGTATTAAATAAGGTCCTTAAATGCGGAGTCGTTTCTCTCGACTAAATAGCCGCTTCCCTCACAGCCAATACAGGTCATTCTATTGTACAGTGGAACAAGCAACAGGTCATTCTATTGTACAGTGGACCAAGGAACAGGTCTGTAGTGGACGTCTCCTCTACAAACTGCGTAGCTGCACACCACCTGCTACCGTCTTCCCTAGCAACCAAGCGTATGGCATTCCAATGCCCGCCGTATCTTAGCAACGGAACTAGTCACCGGCTACTTCTCGGGTTTTCCCAACATGACTCATAGAGGACTGGCGGCTGCTGCTGGGTGTATATAAGCTCTGTCTCTCCATTGAGATTCATTCTGACCATTCTTCTTGAACAAGCAACACCACCTCCTCCTCCGCCGCTGCCTGGCAGCCCCTCGCTTCTCCTCGCCTGCCTGGCGGCCCTCGCTCCCGCCAGCGAGCATGGCGACCCACCAGCTGTCCTTCTGAGCTTCCTCACCAACCAACTCTCATTCTGCACCTCCAGCACCAGACTGTCTATCATATAACTTATATATTATACAAGAAAACCACATTAGAGTTTCCTTCCATCCTGAGTGCTAGACCACATTAATATCTCGATACCCCTACAGGTCATTCTATTGTACAGTGGACCAAGGAACAGGTCATTCTATTGTACAGTGGACCAAGGAACAGGTCATTCTATTGTACAGTGGACCAAGCAACAGGTCATTCTATTGTACAGTGGACCAAGGAACAGGTCATTCTATTGTACAGTGGACCAAAGAACAGGTCATTCTATTGTACAGTGGACCAAGGAACAGGTCATTCTATTGTACAGTGGACCAAGGAACAGGTCATTCTATTGTACAGTGGACCAAGGAACAGGTCATTCTATTGTACAGTGGACCAAGGAACAGGTCATTCCATCATACACTGGACCAAGAAATGCAAAATCATTAATATAGAGAAACATTGAGAATGTGCCACAGCTTAAGAGTCATCACCTCCCCTACAGCCAACACAGATCAACTTAACATTTTTCCATCATTTGTGTTGAAGGAAGACACAGTGGACCAAGGAACATAAACTATTAATACATTAAGATACTGAGAGCAATACAGAGGTCCTGGTACAACACAGACCCATACACCCACTGTTAATATTATCCACAAGAACAAATTCACAGAACACAGACCTTAACATCTATCAAGGCCTCAGAAAATTAATATGTAATTCCTATGTGAAGATATTGTGAGATTCTAAGGTCTCTTAACAATATTTCAAGAAATTTGGTTACTTAATACTGTACTTAGACGAATAATAAACAAACAGTTGACCTGAATTGTTTAAATACGATGGGAAAGATCACAGGACTATTTTATTCACCAGAGACGTCCCATAGACAAGGGATTTATAAACTATCTTCACTGACCCCATCACTATGGGACGACACTTTTAATGATCTATTTGGCGAACCTCAGACAATCTTATACAGGGAAGACACCCCCTCCCCCCCCCACGTACACAAGGGGGTTAACTGTAAAACCAAACATGGCACCAAATTTTTCACAATATCACAAATACAGTACTACTTCCTTCACAACACAATAACACAGCCACAACAACAGTGTTCTACTGAGACTGGCCACAACCCTCTTGGAATCACAACCAAATACGAGAAGCCCTAATACATCTCGACAATAAATTATGTACCGAATTCTTTGGAGATCAAACTGCAACTCCTCTAAGCATAGAATTTGGTTACAATCTATCATAAAAGTTAATAAATAATGATTATAGAACTAACATGAGAATTTGAGTAGACCTCATCGCTCATTTCACCTGAAGATTAGACACCAGCTTATTTCACCTGAAGATTAAGCAACCTATTGCTAACCTAACATATCCCCTTCCAGGTAGTATTGGGGAGTTTAATCATTAGGTGAATACACTAGGGTGTCTACTCCTCAGGTAAAGGGACCATAACAGCTCAAAGAAAGACACAGAAAATAGTTATTGCCAAATTACTTTATGACCAAACAAGACTGAATCCACAAACTGACTCATGAAAAAACAATAATTTATTATCTTAATCTCACATTTCCACTAATCTGCTTTAATTGGATTGGAAATACTAGGGTGGTATTTGTGGGGATTGGGAAAGAGAGGCAGGGATTGGTTTAGGTACAGTACTAATCATCTTAACTCATCGGCACCAAACAAACTCACTGCTAGACACATCAACACTAACATCTGTCGTGTCTATTACAAACATCAACATCGTCTGTGATTTCTACATCCCTCTCCTCAATACATAGTGAGGAGAGAAAAATCGCATCAGGCGAGGATTAGGCACCCTTGCTTACTTCACCGTAACCCCTTCAATACGGGGACGCCACCTTTAGTATTGAATATTTCAAATGCCAGAGGATTTTATTCAGCACAGATCCCATACATAAGGGGTTAAGAGTAATCACACTAATGTTAACCTAACTTAACAAAACCCACTAGTCAGCATTAGTCTGTTTACTCACAAGGTGAAATAAGCCAAATTTACGGGTTCTGAAACGTCACTAATACTGTACCGTACAAGTTTTTCTCTAAATAACAAACATTTACTAGATTGTAGAGAAACTAATGGTAGAATAAAACTGGCAAGAAATACAATTGAACTAAAACTCAACACAACCTGGGACAAGGATGACCTTCTCCCTAGAACATTACAATCTTACAAAATGTGGGAAATGAAAGGAATAGTAAAATTTTGTAATAAATTAAGAGTAATAATACGTAACTCAAGGGAACTTTATAAAAACAAATTTATCATAACGGCCAACACCCCATCTCTGAGGTAACGCCCAGACGACCGAAGTGTTGTTTATGAAGCTCCTATGTCCAGATCTCCGGGCCACTGTCAGAGCTACATGGCCAAGATACACTTTAGCTTCTATATGGTACAGTAAACCAGGATAAAGCTACAGGTGTGGGCTGGCACTCTACAGGGGCTAGTGGCTTGATATTCTACAGGAGCTACAATTTTGTATTATTTTCTTCATTGTTGTGGTAGCTCGGATTATCTGCCCCGTCGATACGGTCCAACTTGAGGCCGTTAGTCTGGAAGTGGCCGTTGGATTTATCGACTTTGATCTCCGTGTCCTGTTTTTTCTTAACGACGGTTGCCTCGTATTTTGCGTTCATGCGTTCCCCGAGTTTGTATATGACGGAGTACACGAAGAACATGCCAACCATGGCGGCCACGGAACCCCCGGCCAGAGCGGCCGTCTGGGGCACTATGACGAACGCGCTGATTAGAGACGCAGTGTTGAGGATGTAAACTAACGCGGCCAAAACCAGACGGTGGAAGTGCGAGCCGATGAGCGCCCCGAGCGGAGCCCCGATGGTAACGATGGGAATGAGAGCGAGTAAGTAATCCCAACTCTCCTGAGGCATCCCCACCGTCACAAACGCCCTCCACCACCACCCACCCATCGAGGTAGCGGCCATTAAAACCACCGACGTTGGAGTCGCCACCTTCTCCGACACCTTAAAGTACAGAGTGAGAAGACTGAACATGCAGATGTCCGCGCCGCTCCCAGAGAACGACGTGAATATTCCTCCGATAAAACCGAATATAAAAATCATCAGCTTCTTCCACCACGTTAGATCGGGAATATTATTGTAGGTCTTTCTCTTGGGGTTCCAATTTATTAAAAACAAAGTGAAAGCAAAGGCAAAGAAAATACTGACGAATCCCATTTTCTTCATAGAGGGAGTCAGCACGGGGTCGACCACCTCCAGGCCAAATATCACGCCAGCAAAAGCTCCCAGGAAACTATACAGTAAGGCGTTTCTCTCTGTGTGAACCTTCATGAACAGGATCGAGAAAGCAGCGGCGGTCATCCCGTTGGCCTGTATCGACATGGAGAGGTCGCGTGCCACCTCTGGGGTCTCTCTCATCACCAGCGTCATCACGGGAAATGCCACCGCACCTCCGCCCACGCTTGTCATCCCTGTAAATACAAGCTGGCCAAGTCATCGTGAAGAGCAGACGAGAGGAAAGTCAGGTCACAAGAAGATTAGCAGCCAGGGTTATTTGACCTCAAGATTAATCACCCTAAAGCTACCCTAACCTAATATAACCTATCCTAATCTAACCTGACATAGCCAAACCTAAAGAATGCAACCCAACCTAACGAACATAACCTAACCTAACCCCCTCAAGTAGCACAAGTGTGTTTAATCATCAGGTGAAATAATACAGGGAGGCTAATCTTCAGGTGATCCATACATTCCCCCTACACCAGAGAGAGAGAGCCGTGACGCACTATACCTAATGAACCTAGAGACAAGACCACTGCTAATATTTTATAAGTAACCTTGGACACAATTACCACATATACTAGATAGGAGACTCAAGTCCTAAGTATCCTACAGGACTCCTCTACCACTGTCCTCTGTTGGCTATCCTTGGTCCAGCTGCCTCTCTGTTGTTCATAGTTTGTATACCTGTACTGTATGAGTGCTTCAAACCTACATTGTCTATATGCATACTGAATCAATGTGAACTTTTATTAGGATTTTACTAGACAAATTCTATATCTACTGTATTTATCTATCTACCTACTGTAGTTCTAAGATACAATAACTGTATAAATTGTATACTGTATCATACTGTGCACCGAGGGACAACTACAGAGTAATCGTAATACAAATCACAAATACAATTATATACTGTATGTTTCACTGTTGTTTGTGAAGAGTATAACTAAAATACAATCACATGCAGTAATTTTGTTGTTAGTAAAAGTAGGTAAATATATAATAATAAATAATACTTGAACATTAAGGTAATAGAAAGCTGATCATAAGCTGTCACATAATGGAAACAGGAATGGCAAAGACTCACCGGAAATGACCGAGCCGAACACCATAGTGATGGCCATGGGATACGTGTCCGCAAACACATAGAAGAGGTTCTTATAGGCCATGATGGACCAGTACCAGAAGTGGAAGAACATGGCCGGGATCAACAACCCCAAGAGCTTCCGCTTTTTGGACGACATGCCACTGAACGGTCCGGAGGTTGTGTCGACATCCTCACAGTCCTTGTCTGTCGCCCCGTGCTTCAGCTGACCTGGAAGTAATGTATAATGAGGACTAGACACCACGATCATGACCTCGACCCCTTGACTACGAGGAGGCCATCTTCGACCCCTTGACTACGAGGAGGCCATCTTCAACCCCTTGACTGCGAGGAGGCCATCTTCAACCCCTTGACCACGAGGAGGCCATCTTTAACCTCTTCAGTACTGGGATGCCACTTAATATTTTCTTTGGCTAACATTAAACAATTTTATTCAGCTCACAGATCATACACACAGGTTGTCTCACAGGTTAAGAGGTACACTGTGCTCCAAGTGACCAGGAAACATACATATATTGAAGACTTTATCATATACTATCAACATCATGAGATTACAGGTATATACAGGTTATCCCATAGGTCCCCAATTTTGTTCCCTCTAATCTACACACCTGAACCATGATTAAGTAACCTATATTTAATTTTTTCAGCTGCAAATATTAGCATCATTATTATTAGTCGTACAGGGTAATGTTATTGTTATTATTATATCATATTACTATTATTATAAAGAAGATTGTACACAAAGAGTTATGAAGTCTGGTTAAGTAATGTACAACACAACCATTCCAACACTTAACACAACTATACTGTACTTGCACCAACACAACTATACTGTACTTGCACCAACACAACTATACTGTACTTGCACCAACACAACTATACTGCACTTGCACCAACACAACTATACTGCACTTGCACCAACACAACTATACTGCACTTGCACCAACACAACTATACAACCATACTGCAAGACACACCACAACCATACTGCACCAAGACACACCACAGCCATACTGCACCAAGACACAACACAACCATACTGCACCAAGACACACCACAACCATACTGCACCAAGACACACCACAACCATACTGCACCAAGACACACCACAACCATACTGCACCAAGACACACCACAACCATACTGCACCAAGACACACCACAACCATACTGCACCAAGACACACCACAACCATACTGCACCAAGACACACCACAACCATACTGCACCAAGACACCAACCATCTGCCAGACACCACAACCATACGCCCAAGACACACCACAACCATACTGCCCAAGACACACCACAACCATACTGCACCAAGACACACCACAACCATACCAAGACACCACAACCATCTGCCAAGACACACCACAACCATCCAGACACACCACAACCATACTGCCCAAGACACACCACAACCATACTGCACCAAGACACACCACAACCATACTGCACCAAGACACACCCACAACCATACTGCACCAAGACACAACACAACCATACTGCACCAAGACACACCACAACCATACTGCCAAGACACACCACAACCATACTGCGCAAGACACACCACAACCATACTGCACCAGACACACCACAACCATGCTGCACCAAGACACACCATATACTGCACCAAGACACACCACAACCATACTGCACCAAGACACACCACAACCATACTGCACCAAGACACACCACAACCATACTGCACCAAGACACACCACAACCATACTGCACCAAGACACACCACAACCATACTGCACCAAGACACACCACACCACTAACCTTCCCAAAAGTATTTCTTGCACCAAAATGAGAAGCCATGATTACACCATTTCCTCCAAAAACTCCATTGTTTCCTTGGTCTTTCCTCTGTCATGGCCTCCCCAACCTTCTTCTCCATCACTGATGATGATAATGACGGTGATAATGATGATGATGACGATAATGACAGGTGAGGTGGTACTTCCTTCCCAGTAGCTTTAAACGTGTGTAGAATTGTAGTTCAATTGCCCTTTTCTGCGTTTCTTGTGCCTTCAAACACGTGGATTCTTATTTCATTTCCCTTCTTTCACGTCTAGTTTCTTTCTCATCGTCCGATATGAAGGAAGTCGATCTACATTCAAGGTTCGAGGTATATTTGCTCTGGCGCTGGAGACCTGTTTAAAGAATAAGATTACAGTTTATGGTACACAGGAGAGATAAGACACCTGAGCTTATTTTACCTGACGATTAAATACCCTAATGAGAACCTAACCTAACCAAAACATACAACACAACACCACACACACAACACCACACACGACCCACACACAACACCACACACGACCCTCACACAACACCACACACTGCCCTCACACAACACCACACACTGCCCTCACACAACACCACACACTGCCCTCACACAACACCACACACTGCCCTCTAAAAGATTAAGTCATCATACTCAGCGGATTAAGTCACAATACTCAATGGATTAAGGCATAGTACTCCAGGGGTTGTCATCATACTAAAAGGTTTAATCATCATACTCAAGGACGTAAACCATCATACTTAATAGGTTACGTCATACTCAAGTATATGAATCATCGTACTACAGGTTAAGCCAGTACACTCGCGGGGTAAACATCTATTAAATAACACAATTTTTTTCCTTGTAAGAACCTGTTATAAACTCACAAGCGCCGCACGACAAGTATACTGAACTCTCTCTGTTTCTGGGTTATCAGTTGTGGTTTCTAAAGGTTGTGAATGTAAAATGTTGTAAATAAGTTATATATAGGGTTGTAAATTTAAGGTATTGTAAATGTAAGGTACAGTATTGTGAATGTAGCTTTGTAATTAATGAAAAGTGTTGTAAATGCAGGTGTTGTAAATATAAGAGGTTGTGAATGTGTCTGGCTACTAGGAACAATACTAGGCAATATCTACAGGTTGTTCAGTGAAGGTTATGTTACACCTACGTACTAGTTATATGCCTTCAGTCCTTGACAGAGGTGACCTGGCCTAAACCAGTTGTGTGTGTGTGTGTGTGTGCATGCTACTTTTTGTGCGAGTGTGTGTGTGTATAATAATAATAATAATAATAATTAACGGTTTATTGAAAGAGCTTGGCAGCCAGAAGGCTGAAAATATACAATTACATATTATGTGAGAGTGCGTGTGTGTGTGTATGTAATAATAATAATAATAATAATAATAATAATTAATAATTAACGGTTTATTGAAAAAGTTCTGCAGCCCGAAGGCTGAAAATATACATTGGGCATAAATGACTTATTACATACATTGGTGGTTTAACAAAAGCCTTCATTAGAGAAAGGTAAAGGAACATACAGTGAACATTCAGATTAATGTAGGTGTTGAACAGCAAACACGTAGTGTAGTAACTCTCTCCCAGGTGGTGTAGGATGGTGGACCTCACGTGGTGTGTAGTAGTTCCCTCACAGATGGTGTTATGAGGGGCCTCACGTGTAGTAATTCCCTCACAGATGGTGTTATGAGGGGCCCTCACGTGGTGTAGTAATTCCCTCACAGATGGTGTTATGAGGGGCCTCACGTGGTGTAGTAATTCCCTCACAGATGGTGTTATGAGGGGCCACGTGGTGTAGTAATTCCCTCACAGATGGTGTTATGAGGGACCTCACGTGGTGTAGTAATTCCCTCACAGATGGTGTTATGAGGGGCCCCTCACGTGGTGTAGTAATTCCCTCACAGATGGTGTATGAGGGCCACGTGGTGTAGTAATTCCCTCACATATGGTGTTATGAGGGGCCTCACGTGGTGTAGTGCTCCTTACATATGGTGTGTGAGGGGCCTCACATGGTGTAGTAATTCCCTCACAGATGGTGTTATGAGGGGCCTCTCGTGGTGTAGTAATTCCCTCACAGATGGTGTTATGAGGGGCCTCACGTGGTGTAGTAATTCCCTCACAGATGGTGGTATGAGGGGCCTCACGTGGTGTAGTAAGTCCTTCACATATGGTGTTATGAGGGGCCTCACGTGGTGTAGTAATTCCCTCACAGATGGTGTTATATGAGTGAGGTGTGGTTCCAGGCCTTCCTATCGTAGACGGATTAACACATCGCTGGTAGTTGGGTCTCACGGGCCGTTATCACTGGGTACCTGGGACCTCACTGTGTGAAAGGTCAACTTGGGTACCACTGTTACTGTTGAGTTGTTCTCACTGACTTAAGCACTGTTCACCACTGTTCACCTCTGTTTAACACTGGTTCCATTTCTTTCCTAAATGAAATAGTAACTTCTGGCGTGAACTTGTTGATATTCCGGTGGGGAGGAGGGTTCAGGGGAGGGAGTTGGTATGGGCCAACATAACAGTTGACCTGGCTGCTCCGAGAGGAGCGCCAGGTACGTCTTGACCCTTCGGTGGTCAAGGATGTGTGTGTGTGTGTGTGTGTAGTCTTATTACTTACCACCACCACTACCACCATCCACCTGACAACCAACCAACCACCAGTATCATGAGGAACAAACATTTCACAGAACTGTTTGATAAGATTGACTCAGGGCTTTCACCGCCTTGAGGCTATTGTGCATTGCTATCAACACACACGATACTTTCACTCACTGTCAACGCCCAGTATATATATCTCTCTCTCTATTTCCACAAACAATCACTTTCTCACCACCACACCCAAACGCTTCACTCACATGACAAAATATTAATTTCTCTTCACCTTCTAGAATATTATGGGCCAATAAAATATACACAGACCTCCATAATAGTCGACCTATGATAATTCAACCTTCTTACGCCCATATTAACTTACAGTACATATAAATAAATTGCCTGTTGATGAAATTTTTTGTGATGTGTAGCCGACTTGAGATACATGATTATACTGTATACCTGTAGTGTCTATGTATATTGTTTGTATACCTTCAATGTCTATGTACAGCATATTGTAAGTATGTATACCTGCACCGTGTATGTATACTGTGCACTGTATGTACACAGCCTGTATATCTGTACTGTCTACATCACAAAATCTCTCCTAAATAAAATAAAGTGAAATACCCTGTACAATGAAAGACTTAAACACACACTCGAGTATAATGTTTACATCACCTTCCCACGATCAGGTGTTGCGTCGACTAATGAGATCAAATATACCTGTGATTTAGCGATCTTTAACACCCCTCCCTCCCCCCCGTATAACATATTATGCTAGCTTTCCCACGATCAGGTTTTAATAATCATTTGTCTGTTTATTTACCTACGAGTTCCCCTCTCACTTTCTCCTTGTCTGTGTTCTTTCATCACTCTCACCACCTGTACCTCTCACTCTCACTTTCTCCTTCACTCTCTCTCCCTTGCACCATTCTTCCTCCACTTTCACTCATAATTTTTCCACCTTACCACTTTCACTCACACTCCCTCCCTCCCTAACCACCTCATTTTACACCTCATTATATCTTTAACCAGTTTTATCTGATATGTGTGTGTGAGTTTGTGATAGTGTGGGAACTGCAAGCATGTCGAACCCACAGAGAGAGAGAGAGAGAGAAAACCAACCTCAGGTGACCTTAACACAGGTAACGAAAGACCAACACCAGTTCATTGTTACCGATGACAAAAATTACGACAAAGGCAAGGGAGGCGAGGTGGGTGGGGTATGTGTGTAGGTGGGGGGTGGGGAGTGTGTGTGGGGTGGGGGTGAGGTGGGAGTGGGGGTGGGGGAGTGGGGGTGGGTGGAAGGTGGGGGGGTGGGTGAGTGAAGGGGGGAGGCGAGTGGTGAGGGGGAGGCAGGTGGTGGGGGAGGCGAGTGGTGAGGAGGCCGAGGTGGTGAGGGAGGCTGACTGAGTGAGGGCGAGTGAGTGAGGGAGGCACAGTGAGTGAGGGGAGGCGAGTGAGCAAGTAAGACAATGACAGAAAGAGGGGGGGGGGGTCCTCCAGCGGGATGTGATGGAATATAAAAACAAGAACTCCGTCAAAAGTTTGTTCTGAACAATACGGAACACCTGATACTACTGCTTGTGTGGGTAGGCGGGTGATGACATGTGGATATATGGGTGTTGTGTGGATGGGGTGTTTGAGCTAAGGAAAGGTAAGGTAAAGTTAGGTTAGGTAAGGCAACAAGACTGACATTGAATTCAGAAAAAATTACACTATATAAAAATAATTTGAAGATTTCTTTATGCACTACGCTGTAAAAAGTCGTGTCTTTTCTCGCTATTTTAAGTTTTAGTTTTACTTTACTACACCGTGACCCGAATCTAGGACACACACACTGACAGATAGATACACAGACAAATACATACACAGACACACACACAGATACAGACACCCAAGATACATACACACAGAAAATGCAGGTGTACAGTTCAGCATGTATACAGACACTGCAGGTGTACAGTTCAGCATGTATACAGTTCAGCATGTATACAGTTCAGCATGAATATAAACACAAGTACACAATACCAGCAAACAATAAGGTAATTTGACCAAAGATAACCCAAACAAAGCCAACAACTGCGTAATAAAAAGTAAACTTGAATTACACACAAAATCACAACACATGATATAAAAAATTTAGGTGTTATGGGGAGACACTTAACACTACCCCCTCCCCCTCACTTAACCCACCACACACACGCGAGGTTTTCACTACCTATAACACGATTCATAACACTTCAATTATAAAACTGATTATCATTAACAAAACACGTATATAAACACTCTCTTGGGGGGCCAAACACAAGGATATATCACTGCCTCTTACACCGACTTGGCATGTCCGTCACCAGTGGATGAGAAACATTAGTTGGGTTATTTCACTTATAAATATCTGACAAGTAGATATAAGTAACTGATAATATACTTTTAGGGTTTATGAAGGTATAGGGGGTATAATAGTATAGAAATATTTGATAGTTACAGGTCAGTAGTGAGTTAACGGGTGATGGTTGGGCAGCGATGAACACCGGTAAACTCCCGACGACGTCTGAGGTGAGTGTAAACAAATGACGGGAAGACGAGCAGCGATTTCACCTAGCTGGTAACTCTATCCATGTTGTATAGTTACCCCGAACGACACGGAGTACCTAAAGAAATTTTTTTAAGCTGAATACTCAAAATGACTTTACTTGTATATTATGATCTCAAAAATGTTGAAGTTGGGTTATAAGTTTATTTTGTCTGTATGGTAACCTGAGCTGTCTCCTGTGATTATATTAAAACTACCCCAAAAGAAACAGTTAAACTACCATTTTCTCTATTAAAGATAAGTCGCAGTATTTTACTTCTATTCTGATGATCAAAGGTTAGTTTAAGTTAGCTAATATATTTGATTCTTTTGTATTAGGTCAATTATAAAAGAACTTTGAGTACTATTGATAATCCAGTACTAATCTACTCTAATTTTGGCAGCCAAGTCCACAGTTGCACAATGTAAATTTTTCTCATAAAATTCAATCACTGTGTGTGTGTGTGTGTGTGCTCGCGCGTGCGTTTGTCGCCACATCCCGTTCCGGGTGTCTTTTTTTGTGAGTGACTGAGCGTACGTGATGTAGCAACGAGCTTAAAAACCCAGGCAGTTTATAGAATTATGAGACAACAATGAGACACAACACAAACACATATTAGAGAGATAATGACAGAGAGATAATGTGAAATACCACCAGATATTCTCTCAGTGATTAACAAGACCATGAAAAACCTTCCCAGAAACAAAACAACCATTAAAAGAGTCGACCCTCAGACCAAACTGTAAACACTGCTTGCTTCCTTGGCTGGCTCCCCGCTCACAACACTGCTCGCTTCCTCCCGCTCGCAACACTGCTCGCTTCCTCCCGCTCGCAACACTGCTCGCTACCTCCCGCTCGCAACACTGCTCGCTACCTCCCGCTCGCAACACTGCTCGCTTCCTCCCGCTCGCAACACTGCTCGCTACCTCCCGCTCGCAACACTGCTCGCTTCCTCCCGCTCGCAACACTGCTCGCTTCCTCCCGCTCACAATACTGCTCGCTACCTCCCGCTCACAATACTGCTCGCTTCCTCCCGCTCACAATACTGCTCGCTTCCTCCCGCTCACAATACTGCTCGCTACCTCCCGCTCACAATACTGCTCGCTTCCTCCCGCTCACAACACTGCTCGCTTCCTCCCTCTTAGCTACTGCTCCGCTACCTCCACTCATAACCTGCTCCTTACCTCCGCTCCACCAACACTGCTCCTTCCTCCGCTCACTTAACACTGCTCGCTACCTCCACTCTAACACTGCTCCTTCCTCCACTCCACAACCTGCTCCTTCCTCACTCCACAATACTGCTCCTTCTACCTCCTTTCTAATACTACTCCTTCCCAGCTCCTAATACACTACTCTAGCCTCCCACTCCTAATACTACTCCTTCCTCCCACTCACAATACTGCTCCTTCCTCCCGCTCACAACACTGCTCGCTTCCTCCACTCCACAACACTACTCCTTCCTCCCGCTCACAACACTGTCCCTTCCTCCCACTCTGTACTGCTCCTTCCTCCACTCCTGCTCCTTCCTCACTGTGCTCCTTCTATCCCTCCTGCTCCTTCTCCCACTCCCCAACACTGTCCCTTCCTCCCTCTCCTGCACACTCCGCTTCCTCCCGCTCACAACACTGCTCATGCACCTCCTGCTCACAACACTGCTAGCTTCCTCCCGCTCACAACACTGCTCGCTACCTCCCGCTCACAACACTACTCGCTTCCTCCCGCTCACAACACTGCTCGCTTCCTCCCACTCACAACACTACTCGCTACCTCCCGCTCACAACACTGCTCGCTTCCTCCCGCTCGCAACACCGCTCGCTACCTCCCGCTCACAACACTGCTCGCTACCTCCCACTCACAACACTACTCGCTACCTCCCGCTCACAACACTGCTCGCTTCCTCCCGCTCGCAACACCGCTCGCTTCCTCCCGCTCGCAATACCATCTTTCTATCTATTTTAACTTCATATTGTTAATGGATTTGTGGAATTACTAACCTATTGCAACTCCGAAATAAAACTACCTTAGTTATTGAAGCGCTATTTTAAATGATGTTTAAAGGACATATTATTATAAGGTAAATAACAAACATTCATAAAGTACAGTGAAACTCCTCTCTATAGCGGACTCCTCTCTCTCTCTCTTGAAACTTCTCTATAGCGGACTCCTCTCTCTCTCTCTTGAAACTTCTCTATAGCGGACTCCTCTCTCTCTCTCTTGAAACTTCTCTATAGCGGACTCCTCTCTCTCTCTCTTGAAACTTCTCTATAGCGGACTCCTCTCTCTCTCTCTCTCTCTCTCTCTCTCTCTCTCCATTTGTCTCTTAATTCGAGGTTTCACAGCAAGTTCTTAACAGCATCACTTTTTACCAGGAAATCGGCAAAGTTAAGGCACGCCCAATCTTCCCAGAACTAATGCACGATAAATAAACACTGACAATAACAAGTTTTATGTTGTTTGTGATGAAAATATAATGACAGAGAAGGAGGGAGATGATTCACTGCCTCTTGATGGTATTGAGAGAAAGAGGCAAATATGGTTAAAACAAGAGGTACAGGTAGACAAAGAGTAAACAAAGAAATACAGAGAGAGAGAGAGAGAGGAGGGGGGCCCATACAACCTTGAGAATAAATTGCATAAACGTGACAAGGAGTGATCCAAGCAAACATGCAACTTCCCGTGGCTGGATTCAAAGCTACGAGTGAGTGAATGAGGTGAAATGAACCTTGATCACATAAATATTATTGATTAAATTTGAACCCTAATGCTAATCTAACATCACCTAATGCTAAACTAACCTAACACCACCTAATGCTAAACTAACCTAACATCAACTAATGCTAAACTAACCTAACATCAACTAACGCTAAACTAACCTAACATCAATTACTGCTAAACTAACCTAACATCAATTAACGCTAAACTAACCTAACATCAACTAATGCTAAACTAACCTAACATCAACTAACGCTAAACTAACCTAACACCACCTAATACTAAACTAACCTAACATCAACTAACGCTAAACTAACCTAACACCACCTAATACTAAACTAACCTAACATCAACTAACGCTAAACTAACCTAACATCAACTAACGCTAAACTAACCTAACACCACCTAATACTAAACTAACCTAACATCAACTAACGCTAAACTAACCTATTCTAATGCTAAACTAATCTAATCTAACCTAACCTAGCTCCCCAAGATAGAGTTATACAGTACAGGAACTAATATCAAACACGACCCCACCACCGTGTACAGGCGCACAATGTTGTTATGTAACCCCGACCAACCTTAACATTCCTCTCCCTTCTCTCTCTATTTTTTCTTCTTCTGTTCTCATTCCCTCATTCGCCTTACATTTTTTCTCTCCACACAGCTTTTATCAAATATTTAAATTGTCCTATTGTCTAGGTATATTGTTTGTATACCTGTACTGTCTAGGTATATTGTTTGTATACAGTAGATAGATAGTAATACAAAATGATGAATAGATAATATAGATAGATTGACAGATAGATAGCTCGACAGACAGATAGACAGAGATAGATAAATAGACAGATAGACAGATCATTGTTACAGCACAATATCTGTCTTCACTCTGTTACCCAAAGGAAATCCTCAACCTCCCTTATCTGATACATTGATGGAGGAGGAGGAGGGAAATATGAATGATTTTTAGCTGCATGTACACGGTTCTCTCACGTGCATGTGTGTGTGTGTGTGTGTTCCTCAGGGTCAACCGCTACGTCTTGAGAAGTATCATTACCTCAGGTGGAATTAGAGTATTCATAGACAGTACAGATAGAGTATACATAGACAGTACAGATATACATACAGTAAAAGTATACATACACAGCACCGGTCCATATTGCCTTAAATATAGTGTCTGTGTCTAGAGGAATAAACCCAACCTGAACACCTAACTTAACCTAACCCAGCCTAACTTAACCTAACCCAGCCTAACTTAACTTAACCCAGCCTAACTTAACCTAACCTAACTTAACTTAACCTAACCCAGCCTAACTTAACCTAACCCAGCCTAACTTAACCTAACCCAGCCTGGTTCTAACCTAACCTCCAGCCTAATCTCATCTCTAACCCAGCCTAACTTCAATCCAATCCAGCCTAATCCTAATCCCAACCCAGCCTATCCTAATCCCAACCCAGCCTCCAATTCTATTCTTAATTCCAGCTTCAATTTTAACCCAGCCTAGCCTAACTTAACCTAACCCAGCCTAACTTAACTTAACCCAGCCTTAAAATCTAACTTAATTCAATATAATATTCTGAAAGGTTCATATAATACCTAATAAAAACTGATCATTGCACATCATCAACATCTTTCTCATAACTCTTGTGTTTAACTGCTTCCTGGTACAGTGTTCGTCATAAAGTTTAGACCAATTTATTTATTTTTTAATTGTCCAAATGTCGTATTTAATTTGGTCCTGGGGCAATATTTTCCTGTTGCCGTATACTTATGGAGAGAGAGAGAGAGAGAGAGAGAGAGAGAGAGAGAGAGAGATGCAATTACTGTACAGGTAAATAGAAAAATAAAAATAAAGGCAAATAAAGAGTAAGAGCCAAATATGGATAAAGAGAGAGAGATAGACACAATGCAAATACACTATACAATTTAACAACATACAACGTACCACACATTACAGTACAGTTAAATAAACCCCAATACAACATAATACAACACAATACAGTAATCTTGTCCCCAATGACCCCAGTACCTGATGATTTTTCTTTTACCATTACCTGTGGCTGAGTACTATATTTATCACTCTCTCTCTCTCTCTCTTTGTTTAATTATATTTCCTCTCTCTCTCTCTCTACATTCACACAACCCCCTCTCTCTCTCTCTACCTACAGCCAACACAACCCCCCCACTCCAGGTACAACAGCAATCACAACCCCACCCCACTCGACACAACCCCACTCCACAACCACCATCACAACACCCATTACCATATTAGACCTTAACGAGCTACAATACCCAGCAAGGCATCCCGGAACCTTACCTCACCTCACCCATCCCAAGGTTAAATCGGCTTGGCTTACCCCTTCCCTTCTCTCCCTAGGCTAACGTGTCTGTGGGTCGTGGTGACCTTGTCAACATCCCACCCTCCACCACCACCACTCAATGCCTCTTTCATGCAGTTTTAATCATGGTACTGTCTTGGCACTGTAATAAATTGTCTTGGCACTGTCATAAATTGTCCTGGTACTGTCATAAACTGTCCTAAATTGTCCTGGTACTGTCCTAAATTGTCCTGGTACTGTCCTAAATTGTCCTGGTACTGTCTTAAACTGTCCTGACACTGTCTTCAATTGTCCTGGTGCTGTCTCGATACACTAGTTAAATCATTTCCGCCCACCTTCCTTTGTGCCATCACAACCTTACCCGTTCTTCATAACCTTTCACAATTAATAACCCTACCTATTCTTCACAACCTTTAACAAATAACAACCAGTTTTCTCTGGTATTATTTCATATTTATAAAATATAACTTTCTAAATTTGCAAAATATTTCCAAATTCATCAACCTTTTTTAAACCATTCAGTAAATAGTAATAATCTCTAGAAACTATAATAATTACTACCTCTTGTAATAGCAGGTAGACTCAGGTGTTGTAATAGCAGGTAGACTCAGGTGATGTAATTACTGTACCTGAGGCTATTACAGTCCCCATCACCTTTAAGGTATCAATAATAAATAGCTATGTAATTAAGGGCAGGTATGTCCTTCCTACTCCTACCTGACCACAAACACACTGGGGTCAACACACACGCAACTATCATCATTTTACAGTAGTTACATAATTAAGGACAGGTACTCAGGTAAGTTCCACTCCCATCACAAGACACCTGGATAACTACAGCAACATTGTATAATTATTTAGCTCCTGTGGTACAAAGCTATGACGAGTTATGTATGGTGTTTGCTACTCCTATTTATGCTAGGTTTGCTATTATTTATGCTAGGTTTGCTATTCCTATTTATGCTGCTCCTATTTTAGTCAAGGATAGACTAAGGGTGCAAATACCTCCAAATAAAAGGTGTAGAAAATAGTATGAAGGCGAGTTATCAAGGGCTATGTGTTGGGTAGCAGGATAGTGTAGTGCAGGATAGTTGTGTCAGGATAGTAGTGTAGTGGCAGGAGAGTTGAGACAGTATAGTAACAATAGTTTTAAGACAGGATAGTTTTGTGTCAGGATAGTATAGTGACAGGATAGTCTAGTAATAGGTATATACTGTAGTAAGAACAGGATATAGTCAAGGCTAAAAGTAGAAACACCTAGAGGTACTTTAAGTCAGCCTATACTTAAAGCTTTGTCTTCTAACCTTTTTTAAGCTTACTCTGGAGTATCGTTTCTCTTCTAACTTTCTTACTCTGGTGACTCTTTTCTTTCTTCTAACTTATCAACTTTAAGCTTAATCTGGAGTCTTTTCTAACTTTATCAAATTAAGCTTAATGTGTAGTCTCTTAATAATTCTTATGGCAGAACACTTGCCCATATCCCTGGTTCACATACACCTGTAAGAAATGTTTAATAATAATAATAATAATAATAATAATAATAATAATAATAATAATAGTAATAGTAATGATAGTAATAATAGTAATAAAATACCTTGTATGGAAATATTTTTTAATAGCCAAGTTTACAAATCACAGTGACAAAATAATATATATAGTCAGTAAGGCACATACAATAAAATATATCTTTTCTACAGAACTACTACAGAATGTGACCAATTTGCTAACAAACCTACAGTACAGACGCTCCAACGATCCCGTTAATGTACTACAGTATTCCAAACCATCGCTAATACAGTCATTCTTGTACAAAAATTTAACTACGTACTGTATTAGAAAGTATTACAAAATTCTAACTAACTAAAATAATAATTTGGTGTCCAGTGAAAAATGTTAAACCCAGGACACTATTTTCCGTTAATAACAATAATAATATAGTACTGAAATATTAACAAAAATAACAGTAGCAGTTGGGTGGGTCATACAAAGCTACTAGTATCAAGAGGTAGAAAAGACGCCTTCAAATAATGTCCACACACACCACAACTGCCCTTTAAAACACAACCCTTTTAATACAATCCTTTAGTTATGTTGTTGTGTTATGTTGTTATACTGTGTTATGTTGTGAGGTTACATTGTGTTGTTACGCTGTGTTGTGTGATGTTACATTATCTATACATTAAAGTGGAATGATTTAAGTATTTGTGATATATTTTAATCTATTCATTACCTCACAAAATAACCATCATCCATCGACCACACCTATTATAAGCATCAAGTCTCCGAGATCCACCCTAAACGAGTCTCCGAAATCCACCCTAAACGAGTCTCCAAGATCCACTAATAATTGTCGTGTTCCTATTTAAATAACTACCTGTACTGGACCAAGAGTCATGGCAATTATCACCAAGTTCTATTCACTGTACTGTATCCATTACCGAGTGGTCTGTTATACGAGTGGTCTGTTATAGACGGTTTACTCTAACTCCGATGCTGCCTTAATATATCTCTACCTATAATTTCTTATCCATTTTTCAGTTATATACATCCAGTCATTCATCTATACCGTGTCCGAATCTCAGAGTAAAAAAAAATGTGCCGTTTCCTTATATTTAAGCTTTGGTTTTAGTATTAATAGCTATGGCAGGGTTGGGGCCCATTAAAACTGAGGTCTATGAAGTTGGGGACCTATTAGAACTAAGGTCTTTTAAGATAGGGGCCTATTAGAACTAAGGTCTATTAAGTTAGGGGTCTATTAGATCACTTCTCAAATATAATCCAGGCACACTACATCAAGCACCAGGGCTCCCAACACACCAGGAGTTAAGGGTTACAAGGCAGGTACGATAAGCTCAAGGTAAAGGCGTGTTTAACTCCATCTATACTGCATACATAAATACTCCTCATGTTTGCTCTTATATCCAGTTGTTACCTTAGGCCTTTAGTGAGGACATACATACATACAGTCAATAACACCTGCAACATACTATCACATATTCAACATCACAGCAGCTGCTACAACACCAAGGCTCTGACACAAGATCACAGCCATTTCAATGTGATCGAACAACATCGTCACATAATCAACATCTGCAACCATTTGATCAACATGTACAAAATCATCACATAATACCTGCAACAATAAGCAACACCAACAAACGGCAACACGATCAACATGTCATCTTCAGAGCAATATTGCCATCGTTGACGACTTGTTCCTTGGTGAGAAATGTCCCCTGTTGGAGCATCTCTGCGTACTTGGCGGCAGCGGGGTCTTTACCAAGACTGGCCAGAGCCACCACTCGGTCGCCCCGGCAATAGTACGCTATGAAGGACAGGTTCTCCAGGTCTCCCCCGATGATGACGTCGTCGTACTCCCCGTGACCTGGAGGCAAGGAAGGTGGAGTACTCGAGTTAAAACAGTTTACGAGCATCTACAGATTAGCCTCGGCTCCCATGCTACAGTATTTCACCTAAAGATTAATAACTGTAATATTAACCAAACATAACTTAATCTATCATAAGCTAAGATAACCTAACATAATGCAACTTAAGCTAACATAACCTAACAAACTAAGGTAATATAACATAACCTAAGCTAACATTACCTCACAAACTAAGATAACCTACCATAAGCTAACATAACATAACATAACCTAACCCCCCCCCCAGGTACGATCAAGAGACAATAAAGGTAGATAAAACAATTAAAAACATCAATAACTAAAAAAAAAAAAAAAATCAGTACCTGTATAGCGGAGACTCTTGCCGAACAGCACCGTCCAGAAGAAAGGAACTGACTTAACTTCCGATTCCCGGTCGAGCATGTTGAGGGCAGCAGTGCGACCGTGGCCGAGCGCTACCTGCCAGTGTCCTATGGCCACGCTCGCCCCGTCCACGATAAACAGAGGGAAGGCAGCGATGTCTCCTCCGCAAAACACGTCGGGTACGCTGGTCTCGAGGAACTGAAATGTGAGGGAGTTGTTCAATATACAAGGAAGGGGTTTAATATACAAGGAAGGGGTTTAATATACAAGGAAGGGGTTTAATATACAAGGAAGGGGTTTAATATACAAGGAAGGGGTTTAATATACAAGGAAGGGGTTTAATATACAAGGAAGGGGTTTAATATACAAGTAAGGGGTTTAATATACAAGGAAGGGGTTTAATATACAAGGAAGGGGTTTAATATACAAGGAAGGGGTTTAATATACAAGGAAGGGGTTTAATTAATGAATAACCAGGAAAGGTATTAGCTAGGGTGTTTAATCTTCAGGTGAAACAAACTGGGGTGACTAAGCTACAGGCAATCCTATAATAATTCCAACCAAAAACATTACACATCCAAGAAACATTACATTACACATTCAAGAAAACATTACACATCCAAGAAACATTACACATCCAAGAAACATTACATTACACATCCAAGAAAACATTACATTACACATTCAAGTAAACATTTACCTCATTAACGGTCACATAGGCTGCCCCATTCAGAGATATGTCCGACGACTTCAAGAACTCCGTGTTAGGTACGACTCCCACACCTGTGACCACAACGTCGGCAGGTATGGTCTCTCCTGTATCGAGCACCACCTGTCGGGAACACACACACACACGTTAGCTACGACTCCCACACCTGTTACCCCTGAATCAGGTATCATTGAACACCTGTGGGTAATTAACACACCTGTGGACAATTAGATAGATATAGATATATTGTACATAGACAGAAAGATAAATACAGATAGACAGATGTGCATAAATAGGAAGGTTGACAGACAGACAGACAGTTAAATAGACAGATATACATAATAGGAAGGTAGACAGAGCACCACCATGACCCACCCCAGTCAGCCTCCCCTCCTCGCTGGTAAACTCCGTCACTTTGGCTCCGTTGATGAACTTCACTCCCTGCTCCTCGAACAGCGCCTGGATCCTCCCCCCAACTTCGAGGCCGAGACTTCTCTGAAACGGCACCGACGTGTACCCGATTATGGTGACCGATGCCGCACGCTCGTTGGTCGCTAAATATGCCGCTGCCTCCATGCCTGTGTGCCGAAACCATGAGATATATCGGTATTAAAGCGTAATTGACCCGACCTGACCTCATCTGACCTAACTTAACCCCCACAGGTAGCATTAGGGTGTTTAATCGTCGGATGAAATTAGTCGGGGTAGTTATTGGCTCGGGTAATTATATATATATCCTCTTTAATTACAAGGTAGTGTCATTAATGCCTCATAATTAAATATAACCCAGCTGCCTACTTTATATCACCTGTGTCGTACTTACCGATAAAAGATGTTCCGACGATGACTGCGTGTTTGCCAGACGCTGCGGCCGAGATAGCATTGGAGTCTTCAGGTGTACGGATGACATACACTTCAGGTAGATCATCTCCTGAAATGCCTAACCTGCGTGGCCTGAAAGCGAATAGATAGATAGATAGATAGATAAATAAATATATATATATAGATAGACAAACATAAATATTCATTATAATCTGACCAAACCACATTGAACATTACTTAACCTAACCTAACCAAACCATACCTAACTTAACCTAACCATGACACCACATTAAAAGACCATAACAGAAAATGGGTGAGCTCCAACATACACTTCCATAATGTGAATGTAATGTACAGTCCATCAAAGATTCAGACTAGTGAACCCGAATCATCTGGTGTCTATTGCTTTGGGTTCACGAGTCCGAATCCCTGGGTTCGTGAAACATCAAGAGAGGCGACAGGATTTTTAAACACGACTGTATCGTACAATCAAATACTGTAACCCAACGACACAAAATCCTGTAACGTCAAGCGAGTTATTTTTTTTCTACTAGCACAAACGTTCATCCTCAACTCACTTTCCTCCCGTGGCGATGAAGATCTTATCGTAGGGCAGCTCCTCCCCACTGCTGAGATGGACCATCTTCCCCTCAGTGTCTACTCTCTCAGCTGATATTCCCTGCAGTATCTCGATGTCGCAGCTCTGGAAAGTAACAGGAGGTTAAAGGTTGTTTACGAGACGCTCGAGTGTCTCCTAAGTCCCATATACGATAGATAATTTTGTCTAGCCTAACCTAATCTAACCTAACTAAACATAACATAGCCAATCCTTTACCTAACCTACTATAACATAAAAAACCCTAACCTATCCTAATTCAAACCAACCTTTCCCTCCCTCTACCCCAACATAAACAGCCATACTTACACACCCACCCACCACACACAAACTACAACACACACACACCACAACTCACTTGCCCATCACACACACACACACCCACCTCATAAAACTCGCTCGACCTGAGGGAGATTTTGTCAGGGGTCAGATCCATGGCCTTGGAGAGTTTGGGTCGGTCGTAGGGGAGGTGGTACTCTGGGGTGATCATGACCAGACGGCCGCTGTACCCCTCCTGCCTCAGCGTCTCAACGCATGATGCCCCTGCAGCTCCTACATAGAGATAGATATAGACAAGATAGATAGATAATTTATACAGTACTAAGATAAGATATTTACTAAACAATCAAACATGTTATTGCTATGGTTAAACTGTTCCTTACATAACAAAAGCTACAAATTTAACACATTCATGTCTTAAAAAAAATAACACTATTAAAATATAAATAAAAAATACTAATAATAGTCATAATAATAATGGCTGACATAAGACACCGACGACCTAACACAAAACGAACCTCCACCAATAACGACAAAGTTCGACGGGTTATCAGGGTCTCGTCTGGCGAGTGTCTTGACCCTCTTGTCGGCAGCCAGGAGAGTCTTGCTGGCCGTAATCTTGACCTCTCCGTCCACGACCTCAATCCCGTACTTTGGTATGCTGTCCAGGCCGGGGAAATCCTCTATGTCACCTGTAGGTTTGGGGGAAGTTCAGTTAAATTGATCAGTTTATTTTACCTGATGATTAGATACCCCAGTTTATTTTACCTGATGATTAAATACCCCAGTTTATTTTACCTGATGATTATTTAACAATACTAAAGCTGAAAAACATATTACAACATATTAAAGACTGTACTCAAAACCTCAAGGCATCAAGTGTACCTGTAGCCAAGCTGAAGCAAGCACCATGCCAGGGACACCTCACTCTGCCATTACACAGAACTCCCGTCTCCAGTGGGGCCCCGTAGTGCGAACACTTGCTACCCAGAGCTGACAGCTGCCCCTTGTGATGAACCACCAACACCTTCCCTCCTTCCACCTCAAATGTCTTCATCCTGTAACAATATTTTGATAATTACGAAAAGGATAATATTTCAGTCTGCAATTATAGGCCGTAAACATGAGTTATTATACATGATCCTGGTGGTATTATCTTACAGTCTACATAATCTATACATCCAAGTATGATTAAGGATTAATAGTATAACAGTACCAAGCTAAATATAAACCTATAAGGAACTATACGTGCAGTTGGGTAGGGCAGGGGGTGATGGGCAAGACCTGACAGAAATGTTACCAAACAAATCCTTTTTAAGTTTTTTATAATAGTTGTGTGTGTACAGTATATGTGTGTGTGTGTGTGTGTGTAGCTTGATGTGTTTCCTCATGCATATGTTGGCTGTAGTATCTGATAGTGTTGGTTTTGTCTACAGTAATTATATTTATATTTATCTGTGGGTCCAAGTGTAAATGTTGGAGTGTACAATGTTAATAGTAAATACTGTATCTGTTTATTTACAGTAATAGTACAGTACATATCTGTTTATTTGCCAAGAGTCACCCTTACCAATCCTGTAACGAGGTCACTGATCAAACTGGTGACAATTAGTACACAATAGCTGTTGACTTAGCTAAATCAGTCACTGCCCCTAAACCATCACCACCATGTACAGTATAAAGCCGTTCCCCTCACATTATTTCATTACTTTGATTAGGAGTTAAATTTGATAACTAACCTTAATTATGTTAACTTTTATGGTTAGGAGAATAATAATGACAATATATGAAGTACTGTATTAATAAACTTTCAAAATAATGACTTTAAACGATGTGAAATTGGTAGAGTCTTAACCCCTGGATAATCATGATATAGAATCCCTGCACACCACCACTATAGACATAACAGATGGTTGCAGTGTACATTATTAAATTAATCAGACTACTTCTTTACTATGCTTCTTGGGGTGAGTGTGCACAGACAGACATACAAAGGCACAGCACACAAGAACCAATAATACATCAGGTACAGGAATAATACAGCAGCTACAGGAATAATACATCAGGTACAGGATCTCACCCATCTTGAGGCAGGTCTTCCTCCTTGCAGATGACAGCCTCCATCATGTCACCTCCCACACTGCTCTTACGGCTCATCCTGCGCTCTGGTGGTGAGAACACTCACATTAGTCACTACTGTATACACACTACACTGTTGATAAACACGGTCAATAGTATTAAATATTAAGGTAGTACTGTACTGTTTATATTTTGGGCCGCCTGAAGATTTGATACCCCGGGTTATTTCACTCCTAGATTAAAATAACCTAATCTAACTTATATTAACCCATTTTTACTAATCCAAGTTATATTAACCTAGTTTTTCCTAAGTTAACCTAACCAATTTCTTAACCTAACCTAACCAAATTTTTCCTAACCTAACCTCCATATATAGTATTGGGGCGATTAATCATCAGGTGAAATAAGCTCAGATTGTGGGGGACTCATCTTCACGTGGTCCATACAGTCACTAACCTACAACAAATAAACAATACTTGCTGTAATGTATGAATCTAACACTAGAAATACAAAACATGTCCTGTATTTTCATCTATTTGCTGTACTTCATGTATCATCTACTTCTTGGCTGTATATTTCTTTTTAATACAATATTTTTCTCCCAAACCAGCTGGACAATAACTGCTCATCACACCAATATATAATACACAATTTATTTATAATTTTCAGTATAATAATAATAATGATTCTCTTTTGACTACTCTTGAGTAATTGCCAATAGCTGTGACATCAAGACCAATGCGTAGGTCTGGGGAAACCAGCTGCTGGGAACAAACTCCGGCCAATAGCCCCAGAAAACACGCCGATAAAGCCAACTGAAAATTATAATAATTTCCAGTACAAGTGCCTGTTTGATACTGCCTTAACCTATCCTAACCAAAACTTGCCTAACCAAACCTAACATTACCACACCTAATATAACCAAACCTAACAACCTAACCTTCCCTTCACTTTAAATTATTCTAAAACATTGGTTCTTTGGTTATAATATTGCAGCTGCCTCGTCAAAAAGTTACAAGACCATGATATTGCATTCTCAGAGGGGAGAATCATCATCATTCAGCATTTTGCATTACAATGGCAAGTTATTCGGTGAGAGAACCTAACCTAACCTGCCCTAACCTGACCTGTCCTAACCTAACCACCACAATACAGAAAGCAGTAAAGTACTGTAGTTTTATTTTCCATTCAAGGAGCTAAATTCCCAATGGCCACACATCAACGGTGAACCACTAAACTCTGTGGCCACAATATTACATCCTCGGAGACTGAGTTAGGTATGGTGGCCACAGTATTACAGCCTCGGAGACCGAGTTAGGCATGGTGGCCACAATATCACAGCCTCGGAGACTGAGTTAGGTATGGTGGCCACAATATTACAGCCTCGGAGACTGAGTTAGGTATGGTGGCCACAATATTACAGCCTCGGAGACTAAGTTAGGTAAGGTAGCCACAATATTACGGCCGGACAAGGCATGTCCAACAGCCTCGGCCACACACCCGAGACTGAGTTAGGTATGGTGGCCACAATATTACAGCCTCGAGACTGAGTAGGTATGGGGCCTATTACAGCCTCGAGACTGAGTTAGTATGGTGGCCACAATATTACAGCCTCGAGACGAGTTACCCAGCCTGAACGGGGGTTTCACCTCGAGCCAGAGTGGCCAGCCTCGAGACGCCACCAACAACACCAACCACCCACACCACCAACCCACCCAACAACACACACCCAACACCAACACCCGAGACGAGGCATGGTACAATACAGCCCGAGACTGAGGAGGACAATACAGCCTCGAACCAAGCCGAGACCGAGTTAGGCATGGTGGCCACAATATCACAGCCTCGGAGACTGAGTTAGGCATGGCGGCCACAACATTACAGCCTCGGAGACTAAGTTAGGTAAGGTAGCCACAATATTACGGCCACACAATCTCCACTTCTAAACACGAGACACAATGAGACAAAGAATTAGAAAACTATCAACTAAAAATAAATTAAAAACCAAAAAATAATACGAGGTTTAGAATTACCAGTCGACATAACCTGTACAGTATTACAATCTACTCTTAGCCGAGATACTCGATCATGCACACTGAATAAACTACACACTAACGTACTAATCCCTTGAGTATGGGGTCTCCTCTGTGATAAATAAAATCGTCTCGTTACCCAATAAAATATTAAGTGTCGTCCCCAAAGTGAAGGGGTTAGTGGAGGTAGTACATTAACCCCTTGTGTATGGGGTCCTCTCTCAGTAAGTTTTGGTCATAACTGTATTTAGATATGCAAACTAATGTAACCTAACCAAAATAACCAACCTAACCTACACAACCTAATTAACTTAACCTAACCAGCCTAGCCTAGCCTAGCCTAACCTAACCTAACCTAACCTAACCTAACCTAACCTATTCCTCGGATGACCAAAACTAAAATAAAATCCTCCATCTGAGCTGAATAAAATCGTCTAGCTTAACCCAAATAAAATAAGAAGTGTCGTCCCAGAAGCAAAAGAATTAACATAATGAAACAGCTAACATAACCCAATTAGTCTTTCTCTACACATATATAAAGCTAATAGAATAATAATTAATAAAACCCAGAAATACGATTAACCTGAAAAAGACTATTTGGTTTAATATTAAATTACATCTTATAATACTAAAATAAAGACCAGAATTAGTTTTAACGTATATAACACCATAGAAAATAATGAATAAACACGAAAAATGAAGACCAGGGGTAAAATTCCTTCACAAAAACGTAATAAAACAGAAGAATAACATCAAATAAGACTGAAATAAGCCTAAAATATGGCCAAAACACGAGGAAATTACAAACTAATCACCCGAGACAAAATTCCTTCCCAATAAACAGAAAAAAACCCGTAAAATAAAGACAATTTCCTATGATAAGACACAACAGATGGACTCTAGGAAGGTTTATAGAGGACATACTGTAGAATATAACCTGTTGCTGACCTTGCTGACCTTGCTGAACCTCTCCACCGTGATCAGAGTCTCCAGCACCACCACCGTTCCTACATGAAGCTGTCACTCCCATCCTCTCTGGCCAAAGACACTTGCTACTAACACCAAATGATAGTCTTCTTATTAGTATTCTCTGACTACTGATGTTATTCCACCGGTTGATAGTCCTTCCCTGAGCTGCTGCTGACACGCCCAACACCCTCAATGCCCGGGTGAAGAATGCCACAGCCATAATTACCTATGCATGGTGAAAGTTTCGATTTCTTTTTTTTTTTTACGGGCCATTGCGTCGTCTGGTGCTCCTGGTGATACAGTTCTCACACTAATATGAAAGGATTGTTAATTCTTCTGTGGGTAATTATTGAGCCAAATTATTCTACTCGTGTTATATATCATAGAACAGTTTATATTAATAATCTTTGCTTACATCCTGTTTTTCTTGGAGCTCTTCACTGTGTCATATGAAACAATAGTAACTATATATTCAGTTGTTTTTAATCACATTAAAATAAATCTGTCTGTTGACATTTGAGTTTACTGTAATTGAATGTAGTTAATTAAAACATGTTGTACACATTAATTAGTAGAATATCTACAGTATGTGCTAAGAAATAGAGTCTGTTCAGATTAATGTAATTCGGGTTAGTTTCCCGGGCCGGTGGAGGTTGTCTGGACACTCTCCCTAGCCCCCATTAGTCCCTGTTCACCCAGCAGTACAGTAGGTACCTGGTGTAAGTCGAAAGTTGCGAATTCGTATTCAGGGAGTTGTTGGAGCTTCCAATAACTTGATGACATAAACCACTGACTCTTCAGGCTTCAGGCCCTTAACTCATGAGACATAAAGGCAAGCATGACCTTATCATGCTTCCCTGTTGGGCACTAAAGCTTCTGAGCTTCACCTTACACGAGGATGTAGGGGAGAGCCCAATAAATAATAAACAAAAGTAATTAATGTAAATAATTAAAGTATTTCTACACCTTCAGCTGTGACAACGGTACAAGTGGCAGGTAGCACATGTTAAACGCCACACACTATATATGGCAGCACGTTATTTTTTTCTTATCCTCTTCACCACTGATCGACTCGTTAGCCGCTTGGGTGATCGGTCACGTCTCTGTTACGCACTGTTGGCAAGTACTGGGAATGCACCGGCTCCTGAATGTACCTGAACCTGCTCCATCAAGTCTTGTCTTGAAAGAGCTCACACTCGGTGCCGTCACAACACTCTCTGGTAGATTGTTCCAAGAGTTCACAACTCTCACTCCGAAAAAGTTTGCCCTCACAGTTTTCTGGACTTGCGGCTTCTTCAACCTTGAGCTGTGACCCCTTGTGGGGCGAGCGTCCGCCAGCTCCAAGTAAGGACACTCAACTGAGTAGTGCCCCCTGAGATGCTTATACACCTCAACTAGGTCCCCCCTTGCCCGTCTGTAGTATAAGCTAGGCAAGTTCAGGCGCTCCAATCATTCAGGGTAGTTGAGGTGCCGAAGGGCAGGCACCAGTCTGGTGGCAAATAAATTATTAGGTCTTATAAGAAGGTCGTTCAGATATCTAAACGGTCCGTCCCTCGTAACGATCTTCAAGAGTGAAGTGCTTCCCCTGGAGTAGTCCCCGAGAATACGCGATATACTCGGGACTGTCACTTGGTATGGTTTACTCTAAACTTAATACGTATAAATAAAAATTCTAATTCCCATCAAACTCTTCATCAACCCAATATTAATATTTAAGTATAAAATTATAAAAAATGATATATCATTGAGAACTGTTAAAACGCCTATTTTTTTTTTACTGGGAATACATCCTATTATTTAATTACCCAAATGTAGCCGCAATGAAGTCAAATAATGGTCCTACATGAATAAATCGGACTGCCAATCACTTCTCGACGAGTATTTGGTGTCACGAAGTCACAAAAAATTGGAAAACGTAATTTAATCTGAGTTAATAGATCGAGTGCATGTACCTAACCTAACCTAAAACAACTCAGATTAAATTAAGTTTACCAATTTTTTGTGACTTTATGACACCAAATAATAATTGAGAAGTGATTCACAGCCCGAATTACGCTTGTAAGACCATTATTTGACTTCATTGCGGCTACATTTGGCTACATTAGTCTGACCGCTATCCTAAATAGTTTAAAATAGAGAAACTGTTGGATAAAATACTTTCACATTGGGTCGGTTACACTACGAACCACAAAGAAAACTTTGGAATAATAATAATGATGATGGTGGTGATAATAAAGATTATTATGGTAATAATGAAAAATTTAAGCTTATTTTATTTTCATTTTTAATGATTTTGAAATATTACAATATAATTTTATTTTATATACAAACTTTTACATATAGTGAATAAAATCATTCTGGTATTACCATTGCATCCACTCACTTCACTATTGGCGAAACTTGAGATTAGTTTTTCATGTTTATGTTAACTATTGTAATTTTAAAATATACCTGAACTGTCTGTCTGTCTGTACATTGTTTGATAATCTTCACAACTCCTGGCGGGAAACAGAATACTTTATATAATGTTAAATTAATTCACGAACATTACATAGATTAAACGTTAACTTTATAACTAATAAACAAAAGTAACTATAAAACTAGTATATTATTTTAAAGTTTATTTTAACTGATAAGTTTTGGAATATTTGATTTATAAAGGAAATAGATTGCGATTCTGTTGGTGGTTAAAATTAAACATTAGCCAGCTTGTTGCAGGTGAAGTCAATGAGGCGTCAAACGTTTTCTATTATTAATTTGAGTGTTTTTCAGTGAGTTATAAAGACTATGACAACATCTTCAAGGGGAAAATGTCAACAATAATCAGTTCATAATATACTGAACATTTGCAACATGCCAGGTACGTAATAATATGAGAATTTAGTAAAATATAAGATGAAACAAAACTTATATTATTTACATCAATAAATTTTGTTGAGTCTTGCATCTCACAGTTATTGTTATGTCGAGGCGTAATGTATTATAATTTGGTAAACTAGGTAATTTAATTGTTTTCACCTTATTTTGGTTAATTTAGTGAGATTTTCGTGTATATGTATTGAATCATTTGTGTTATATACGAGGCTTTTGCTTCTCGAACCTTCTAGAATAACCTGAGACCCCTGATGACACTCAACCAAGAAGACATATATTTACTTGGAGAATATATAGTTAAAATACCCTGGGGTGTCTAATCTTCTGGTGATCCAAATTAGATTTACAAGGCAGGTTAATCAAATACAAATTATCTTTAAGCATTTTTATATCACAGTATATGGGTAAGTCATTCATCTTAGTTTATAGAAAGGTAGATATTTAGTAGTTCTGATCTGTAGTAGTCTGTCTGTCTGTCTCATTTACACGATATCTCAGAATTGAAAATAAATGTGTGTGAATATTTAAGTAGATCCAGACTCACATAAACACCAAAAAAATGACGAGTAATTAGCATCAGAGAAGTAATTAAAAATGTTGAGATGTCATTTGCACAAGTAAACAGATATCAACTTCCGGATAACAGATCCTTAACGGAATCACGATATAACGTACTTTCTTCTCTCATTAGTCCGTTTAATAGAGGTTTCAGTTATTAGTACGAGAACCCATTAAAATTATTGCCTCATTAAGGATCCATTAAAGCCCATTAGCAAGAAGACTTCTCCCCCACCTGATGTGTGTTGGCGTGTTAAGCTGGTGGGGCGTCGCCAAACCAGGTACTGAAGGAGTAATGCCCATCATCACCGAACTGAGGGAAGTCCCCAGCGAGGAAAGGCATAGAGAAAGTAGATGGCAGTTCCTGGAAAACCCCATCAAGTCTTGGTGTATCGTTCAAGTCTTCTTCAGGCACTGTCGTAAGTTCCTCTGCGACAACTGGGGTAGGTGACGACTCGGATTTCACAACAGGAAGAGATGTCACAACAGGGGCAACAGAATCAACGGTAGAAAGAGGCTCCACGGTCACCTCAGCAACGGGAGCTTCAGACGCTGTACTAGGTGTTAAGTTAATCCCAGGAGGAGGTATGTGGGCCACTGATGGATTACTGGAGATAGTGAAGCTGTAATCTGGACCAGTACGCTGCCTAGTGTGGGTACTGGGCGAGGCTGGTAGACACGATGCCAACAGCCCGCCATAACACAACACTGCCGCTACCGTAACCTGTAAACACACGTAATGATGTATTTTGGTTAGGTTAAGTTAGCGTTTTTCGTTAAATTAGCGTTAATTTCGATCAAGTTAGATTAGATTAGGTTAGCTTTAAGTTAAATTAGCGTTTTGGTTAGATTAGCGTTATGTTAGATTAAGTTAAATTAGCGTTATTTTAGATTAATTTAGATTAGGTTAGGTTTGCGTTAAGTTAGCGTTATATTAGGTTAGGTTAGTTTAACGGTGATTAGTTTTAAGGTAAAATAAACTGGGGTGGCTAATCGTCAGGTGATCCGTTAACACAAACGTACACATTACACAAAGAAACAATAAAGTTACTTAATACTTTTCTTCACTTAAATCTGCCTTGAGTTCTAAGAGATACAAAAGCACTTAGATAATACTTGAAAATGCTTAGGTAATACTTAGATAATAGCTAAAAAAATACTTAGAAAATACTTTAAATACTTAGATAATACTTATAAATTACGTGTACTAACCAGAGCTCTCATGGTGGTGATGGTGGAAGTGTGTGGTGATGGTAGATGCTACGCTTGTCTTATATATACCTTCCCTCCGCCCACCCCCTCCACCCTCCACCCACCATCCTCCCTCTCCACCCTCAGGGCCATTTAGCTCACCACGCCCAGCTACACCCCCCCCCCCCACTACTACTACCCTCCACCCATTAACTATAGCTCAATTCCTCCTCCACCCACCTCTCCACCAGTCCTACACCCATCTTCCCACCTCTGCTACCCCTCTTCCACCCATCACTCCAGCTCCTCTCCCCATTGACCATGATGTAATATCCCTTCCACCCTCATCCACCCTACCACACCCTAACACACTCTACCACACCCTACCACACCCTACCACACTCTACCACACCCTACCACACCCTACCACACCTTTACCCCACCCTACCCCACCTTTACCTCACCCTACCACACCCTACCACACCTTTACCCCACTCTACCACACCTTTACCACACCCTACCCCACCCTACCACACCCTACTAGACGTCGCCAATTTCCACCCCAAAACACTTACGTCAGCCCCAAGGTAAACCCCATTAAGGTTACGTAAAAGGATCAGATCTCATATTGAAGTTACCTGAGATAATGTATTCCCTTACCTGTCGAGAATAAACACGAGGCTTATCAACCACCAGGTAAACTACGGCTTCAAACTGGTTGGTTGATAGTGAGGATGTTGTGTAGAGTGCACTAGTGTTGTCTGTGTGGGTGTTTGTATACCTGTGTTGTCTGCATACCTGTGTTGTCTGCATACCTGTGTTGTCTGCGTGGGTGTTGTCTGTGTATATTGCTTGTATACCTGTGTTGTCTGCGTACCTGTGTTGTCTGCATACCTGTGTTGTCTGCATACCTGTGTTGTCTGCGTGGGTGTTTGTATACCTGTGTTGTCTGCATACATTAACCTGTACTGTCTATATATATATATTTTGTACCTACACTATCTATATACATTTTATACCCATACTGTTTATATACCTAATTACTACAGTGTTGATATAAGAATTATTGGACTGCTGTGGATGTTCTTGACCATGGGTAGGAGGGCGTGTGGGGGGTGAGGGAGCTGGTTTGACGCTAAAACAAGTGACCATCACGAGACGTCTTTGTGATTCTCTCTTTCTCTCTCTCTTTATTTCCATCTGTCTGTCTTTACCTAAAATAAACAAATGGTTGAGTGCTTCTGTCAGATAGATAGATAGATAGATAGATATTCAGTAAAATTCTTCATACCAGGATACTGATTTTAATGCCCTGATTTACAGACTTGACGGGAAGGAGGAAGCGTGAGTCAGACAGAGATGAGGTAAGTGAATCACAGGCGTGTTAGAGGAATCAGTGACAGACGGAACAGTAGGTGTAAAGTGGTGCAAGGTGCTGTTAAGTGGTACAAGGTGCTGTAAAGTGGTACAAGGTGGCTGTAAAGTGGTGCAAGGTGCTGTTAAGTGGTGAAAGGTGCTGTTAAGTGGTACAAGGTGCTGTTAAGTGGTACAAGGTGGCTGTAAAGTGGTGCAAGGTGCTGTTAAGTGGTACAAGGTGGCTGTAAAGTGGTGCAAGGTGCTGTTAAGTGGTGAAAGGTGCTGTTAAGTGGTACAAGGTGCTGTTAAGTGGTGCAAAGGTGCTGTTAAGTGATACAAAGGTGCTGTTAAGTGGTGCAAGGTGGCTGTTAAGTGGTACAAGGTGCTGTTAAGTGGTGCAAGGTGCTGTTAAGTGGTACAAGGTGCTGTTAAATTGGTACAAAGGTGCTGTTAGAGTGGTGCAAGGTGCTGTTAAGTGGTGCAAAGGTGCTGTTAAGTGTACAGGTGCTGTTAAGTGGTGCAAGGTGGCTGTAAAGTGGTGCAAAGGTGCTGTTAAGTGGTACAAGGTGCTGTTAAATTGGTACAAGGTGGCTGTAAAGTGGTGCAAGGTGCTTTGTTAAAGTGGTGCAAGGTGGCTGTAAAGTGGTGCAAGGTGCTGTTAAGTGGTACAAGGTGCTGTTAGGAGTAGTTGCAAGGTGGCTGTAAGTGGTTGCAGGTGCTGTTAAGTGAAAGTGCAAGGTGGCTGTAAAGTGGTGCAAGGTGCTGTTAAGTGGTACAAGGTGCTGTTGGAGTGGTGCAAGGTGGCTGTAAAAGGTGGTGCAAAGGTGCTGTTAAGTGGTACAAGGTGCTGTTAAGTGGTACAAGGTGGCTGTAAAAGTGGTGCAAAGGTGCTGTTAGAGTGATACAAGGTACCGTTAAGTGGTCCACCCAAGGTGTGGCTGTAAAAGTGGTACAAAGGTGCTGTTAAGTGGTGCAGGTGGCTGTTAGAGGTGGTGCAGGTGCTGTTAAGTGGTACAAAGGTGCTGTTAAGTGGTACAGGTGGCTGTAAAGTGGTGCAAGGTGCTGTTAAGTGATACAAAGGTGCTGTTAAGAGTGGTTGCAAGGTGGCTGTAAAAAGTGGTACAAGGTGCTGTTAAGTGGTGCAAGGTGGCTGTAAAGAGTGGTGCAAAGGTGCTGTTAAGTGGTACAAGGTGCTGTAAGTTAATACAAGGTGCTGTTAAGTGGTGCAAGGTGCTGTTAAGTGGTGCAAGGTGCTGTTAAGTGGTGCAAGGTGGCTGTAAAGTGGTACAAGGTGCTGTTAAGTGGTACAAGGTGCTGTTAAGTGGTACAAGGTGCTGTTAAGTGATACAAGGTGCTGTTAGGTGGTACAGGGTGCTGTAAAGTGCTGTAATGTGTTGTAAACTGCTGTAAATTTGTGTAACTGGTGCAAATTCGCAGAGAAGTGCTGTAAACTGGTATAAAGTGCTGTAAATTAATGAAAACTGGTATAAACTGGTGTTCCTCCTCCACCAATACACGACAGGCATCTGGATTCACTTGTTGTTTACGTAATGAAGGCTGTGTGTCTCATTATATTTAGTGAACCAATAATGAGTGCGTTTATATGGAGGTGTGTGACGTTATCATTACGTCATCAGAGGTAAGGAATTATTTTTATTATTCCATTTATTTGTTTAATTATATTATGATGTTGATGCGCCTGACGTCATCAGAGGTTACATAATGCGGCTTCTCATGTGGTACCGCTCGTGTTCGTGGTACTCTTCCAACGTTGTACATCTTTTTAGATTCTTGGTACTTTTCCAACATTGTACTTATTGAGTTGTGAGTGTATATTAGGAGTTTTTCTCTATGATTGATACACATAAACAAGACCAAACAAGGTAAACAAACGCTGACGTCATAATGTAGTGATATATTTGGTGTTGATAAACTTAAAAGTAAAATATAATGTTCAGTTATATACAAGACGGTGTGGGTCAGTTAAGCCGAGGGTTTGGACATGGCCTTGGCGTTAACGTGGGCGTTAGCGTGGGCGGCCTTGATCTCGGCCACTTCGGGGGTGTCCTCAGGGGCCACATTGGTGTCAAGAGGCAGGTCAGAAGCCGCCACACGGAAGCCGGTGCCAGGAGCTGCCGCATACTTCCTGATGTGGACGGCGCCGTCAGGGTTGACGTAGGCGAAGCTGCCTGACGTGCGGCCCAGGGCGTCCCTCGTCTCCACATGGGTGTTGGGGCCGCCCCAGTGCCCGAAGGTGTACTGCCCGGCCTCACCCTGGGCGTGGAACTGACCCCCCACAAAGGGCACGCCCACTGATGGCATGGGCGGCTGTGGGGCCAGCATGGGCTCAGGTGCTGCTGCCACCACAACGGGAACTGCAGCCTTCACAACAGGAACTGCGGCCTTCACAACAGGAACGGGAACTGCGGCCTTCACAACAGGAACGGGAACTGCGGCCTTCACGACAGGAACGGGAACTGCAGCCTTCACAACAGGAACAGGAGATGCGGCCTTCACAACAGGAACGGAGATGCCGCCTTCCTGCTCAGGGCAGGAGATGCGGCCTTTAGCAGGAACAGGAGATGCAGCCTTCACAGCAGGAACAGGAGATGCAGCCTTGACAGGAACAGGAAACTGCAGCCTTCACAACAGGAGCAGGAGATGCGGCCTTCACAACAGGAACAGGAGATGCGGCCTTCGACAGGAACGGAAGCTGCAGCCTTCACAACAGGAACGGGAGATGCGGCCTTCACGACAGGAACAGGAGATGCGGCCTTCGACAGGAACAGGAGATGCGCAGCCTTCACGACAGGAACAGGAGATGCGGCCTTCACGGCAGGAACAGGAGATGCAGCCTTCGACAGGAACAGGAGATGCGGCCTTCACGACAGGAACGGGAGATGCGGCCTTCACGACAGGAACGGGAGATGCGGCCTTCACGACAGGAACGGGAGATGCGGCCTTCACGGCAGGAACGGAAACCGCAGCCTTCACAACAGGAACGGGAGATGCCGCCTTCTCAACAGGAACGGGGTGGTAGGAAACAGAGGTCAACTGAGGTAAGGTCAGCTGCAGGTCAGTCAAGGGCAGCCTCACTACTGACGGGCTGACAGACTCGGTCAAGATGTAAGCTGTTGGCCACGACTGTTGCTTCAGCGGGCTGGCGGCGCAGCACCCCACTAACACAGTCAACATCTGTAATGTATCAACAGTTTATATCAACCTTATTATAACAGCCTATATCAATACCCACAAAAGTAATCCTAACTGTAATTCATCATAACCACGTAATTCATAAACAATTACAAAACTCAACCAAAAGTTAAGTGAGAGATAAGAGTAAACACAAATTTGTCGCGGAGACCAGTTTTTCTACCCACCAGAGCTCTCATGGTCGAGGTGTTGCTGGGATGATCCTCACAATTAGTGTGATGCTGAGGATGATGCCCGCTCCTTTATATACCCCTGGCTCATCCCCTCACCCCTCCCTCACCCATCACCCCTCGCCCACCTTTCCTCAGGTATGATTATTTTTTCAGGTATTGTGTAATACTACTACTACTACTACTACTACTACTACTACTACTACTACTATTACTGCTACTACTACTACTACTATTACTACTACTAATAATAATAACTTTACAATAAATAACAGAATAATTACAATATTTCTATGAGCTGTTTCAGGGTAGTATAGGTAGAGTTAAGTGAATCATTGTAAGAGTGAGAGAGGATAAAGTCAGACGCTGCTGATCGTTCGTGCTGGCATTTACTGACTGTTTGTGTTAAGACTACAATGTCGAAGTGTACGCCAGGCGATGCTGAGTGCTCGTGCAGGCGATGATAACTACTCTTACTGGTGATGTTATTGTTTTACACAGGTGTTGTAGTGATCAGTCAAGGGGCCTTTATTAACTACTGGTAAGATGAGTCAAGGGGGAGGTTCACTGTCCAGGAGGTGACCAGAGAGAGACACAGAGAGGCATAGAGAGACGCAGAGAGGCATAGAGAGACACACAGAGAGGCATAGAGAGACGCAGAGACAGGGAGAGACACACAGAGAGGCATAGAGAGACGCAGAGACACAGGGAGACACACAGAGAGGCGCAGAGACACACAGGGAGAGACACACAGAGAGGCATAGAGAGACGCAGAGACACAGGGAGAGACGCAGAGACACAGGGAGAGACGCAGAGACACAGGGAGAGACACACAGAGAGGCATAGAGAGACGCAGAGACACACAGGGACACAGAGAAACACAGAGACACACAGGGACACAGAGAGAGACACAGAACACAGAGAGAAACAGACAAAGAGACAGAGACAACGAGACGGTGAAATAAAGTAGGTAATTCCCCGCCCGGCCACACCCAAATACACCCCTGACCATCACACCATGAGCGATGCCACCCTTGCGGTACACCCAACCCCCCTCTCACCTCCACCCCTCACCTCCACCCCCTCACCTCCACCCTCACCTCCACCCCCCAACTCATCATCTCTACCATGACTGTAAACTTGATATACGCTTTACCAAATACGCCTTTTCAACCTGGCGTATTATTACTAACACACCACTAACAGGACCCTAAACTAGCTGGTCTGTATGGCTCTGTATGGCTCTGTATGGCTCTATATACCCTAGATCAAGTCACTATATAGACGTTAAATCACACATTACCCTCCCCCATACAAAGACGAGACATACCGCTCTAGGACACAAACTATTAGATAAAAAGTGAAGTTTACTCGGGGTGTTCCAAGGACCAACACTACAAAAACTGGTCTAGTCCACATAATATATCGCCTACAGACCCTTTATCTTGGTCTATGGTTATACATACATACACACATACACATATACATTACATACATTACATACATACTCAATACTTCCCTAAGTCTTATATTCAGAAAGAGTAAATTTGACGACACAATGAACCTGCAGTTGCAATCATAACACTGCAACAGTTTCAATATAATACACTTAAGAATTTAGATTATATTGCACTCAGCTCCTTGCAACAGGCTTGGTTAAGTGAGACAATAATAACCTTGCAGTTGCACTCTCATCATTGCAATAGGTTCGATATGGTATTTAGAGTAATGATTACAATTATGTTGCAATCATCACCTTGCAATAACCTTGGTTAAGTAACATCACATAACATCTTCTTGTATAAAAAAAAATACCATAGCAACGAGACAACCTTGCTAAGTGTCATCCCACCTGACCATCTCTGCACCTTCCCCTTCGTCTTCGCCTCCTTCAACCTTCCATAACACAGGTGATGACCTTTTTTTGCCTCGGTAAGATTCCTCGGCGGCCACACCCCATCCTGGAACGCAAGGACGCCACTAAACCCTGACAAAAACTGGACAAGAAAGATGAAAACCCGGGACAGTGTATGGACCTCTCCCTTACTAGTACCCAAGGCGGGGTTCTGGGTCCCTCGCTGTTTGTATTGTTCTGCTAGACTATACCTCGCTATGCTGGGCTAGGTTAAAGGTGAAGGGAGATGGAGGGATGGATGGCGAGGAGGAAGGGATAGATGGATGGAGGGAAGGAGGAGGGGGGGAGTGGATTCGTATCATATATAAAGACCCAGCAGAACACGGTAGGGCATCACACATCACCCAGCGGAACACCAGACAACAGCACAAGCATGATGAGAGCTCTGGTTAGTTTACCTCTGTTTACTACCTAGGAGATGTAACACTTAGGAGATACACTACTTAAGACATTGTTAATATAGTTCATATAGTGAGGTTGATATAGGCTGTTATAATAAGGTTGATATAAACTGTTGATACATTACAGATGTTAACTGTGTTAGTGGGGTGCTGCGCCGCCAGCCCGCTGAAGCAACAGTCGTGGCCAACAGCTTACATCTTGACCGAGTCTGTCAGCCCGTCAGTAGTGAGGTTGCCCTTGACTGACCTGCAGCTGTCCTTACCTCAGTTGACCTCTGTTTCCTATCACCCCGTTCCTGCCGCAGTTCCCGTTCCTGTTGTGCAGGCCGCAGTTCCCGTTCCTATTGTGCAGGCCGCAGTTCCCGTTCCTGTTGTGAAGGCTGCAGTTCCCGTTGTGGTAGCAGCAGCACCTGAGCCTATGCTGGCCCCACAGCCGCCCATGCCATCAGTGGGCGTGCCCTTTGTGGGGGGTCAGTTCCACGCCCAGGGTGAGGCCGGGCAGTACACCTTCGGGCACTGGGGCGGCCCCAACACCCGGGTGGAGACGAGGGACGCCCTGGGCCGCACGTCAGGCAGCTTCGCTTACGTCAACCCTGACGGTGCCGTCCACATCAGGAAGTATGCGGCAGCTCCTGGCACCGGCTTCCGTGTGGCGGCTTCTGACCTGCCTCTAGACACCAATGTGGCCCCTGAGGACACCCCCGAAGTGGCCGAGATCAAGGCCGCCCACGCTAACGCCCACGTTAACGCCAAAGCCATGTCCAAACCCTCGGCCTAACTGACCCACACCGTCTTGTATATAACTGAACATTATATTTTACTTTTAAGTTTATCAACACCAAATATATCACTACATTATGACGTCAGCGTTTGTTTACCTTGTCTACCATGTTTCTTATTAACCACGACTTATGTCTCTGAGGTGTTTATATGCTTTCATTAAGTTACCCCTTGCCCAGCACTCTCTCTCGTCAAGTAAAGAAAACGGCAGCTCGTTCAATATACAGTATAGTAGTTTAAAATGAATGAATTAATCCTCCATAGAAAACGGAATTATTTTGATGGTAAACTACAGTAAGATGATATACTCTTGACGTACACTTGTGAGGGGGCCGGTGAGGGTGTTAGTGAGTGTGTTGTTAAGTGCGTCAGTGAGTGCGTGGTTATATTACAGGCTCCATATACATATCTCACTAAATACATCTCATCATAGTTAACTCTACACACTGAATTAGTTACCAATAGCCATAAGACTTGTTCAAGACATCTATTGACCGTCCCCATCTTCACTACTTGTTCTTGATACCCTCAACTAAAGGTAGATAGATAGATATAATGATAAATAGATAGATATAATGATAGATAAGTTTACCCAATTATATAAAACAACAAAAATCACATCATAACATCGTGTTTGTTTACCTCGAACAGCTGATTAATTAAAAAACATTGAATTTGGGGATAATATACAATAAAAAAACTATCTGGTAACCCCTTTTCTATTAACAAAATACAAACACACAAACGCACACACATATACCAGATAATTCAGATTCATTAAAAAATATACACCAGATTACAGTAGAAAATATATCAGAAGATTGAAACGATAGATAGAGAAATATTAAAGATGTCAGTATATAAGTGTGTTAATTCAACAGGTTGGTGGTGTGTGGCAGTAATGGTGGGCGGGGCTAGGGTGTTGTGGGCGGGTGGACCGAATGAGGGGAGTCAGTCAGTCCTCGAAGGTCGTTGGGGTGCATTGTCTGCTGCTGCTGTCGTTTCCATATTTAATTCCCAGCTTTTTGCCGACAACAAACTAACATACTGAGCTGGTAAGTGAATATTAAAGTTAAAAATATATATTAACATTAACCCATAAGATATTACTTAACACCACAAGAGTATTATAACTATTGAATACTTGTGAATATTATACACTTGTTGCTACAGATACAAATATTTTGACGAATTAAACAAAAAATTGACCTTTTAAACGTTTGAATATCACGTCATCAAAATCTAATTCAAATTCAAAAGTTTTAAGGTAAATCAAATGTTTCTGTGACATTTAGACATTTAGAATGATTAAGTATCGTGTTTTGTGTATTAACATATGGTATACTGATGGGTGAAGTTAGGGGCTGGTGGGTGAGTGTGGGGGCTGGTGGGGTGAGTGTGGGGTGTGGTGGGTGAGTCTGGGGGCTGGTGGGTGAGTCTGGGGTTGGTGGGTGAGTCTGGGGGCTGATGGGTGAGTGTGGGGTGTGGTGGGTGAAGTTGGGGTGTGGTGGGTGAGTCTGGGGTTGGTGGGTGAGTCTGGGTTGGTGGGTGAGTCTGGGGGCTGGGTGAGTGTGGGGTGTGGTGGGTGGTCTGGGGCTGGTGGGTGAGTCTGGGGCTGGTGGGCTGAGTCTGGGGGGCTGATGGGTGAGTGTGTGTGGTGGGTGGAGTGTGGGTGTGGTGGTGAAGTTGGGGGTGTGGTGGGTGGTCTGGGGCTGGTCTGGCTGGTGAGTCTGGGGCTGGTGGGTGGAGTCTAGGGGCTGGTGGGTGAGTGGGGGCTGGTGGGTGAGTCTGAGGGTTGGTGGGTGGTGGGCTGGTGGGTGAGTCTGGGGTGTGGTGGGTGTGTCTGGAGGCTGGTGGGTGGAGTCTGGGGGCTGGTGGGTGAGTCTGGGGTCTGGTGGGTGAGTCTGGGGTGTGGTGGGTGAGTCTGGAGGCTGATGGGTGAGTATGGGGTCTGATAGGTCACCTCAGTTGCAGTTTGGGAAGTGAAGGTGATCGAATACAGTGTCGTGTGGCGTAATAGTGTTGTTAAGTTGAATTGACTGACTGATACACCAACTGGCTCATAAACTGACTGACCGACCGAAAACTAACTCATTAACCGGCTGGCTGACTTATAAACCGGCGGGCTGACTTATAAACCGGCTGGCTGACTCATAAATCGGCTGGCTGACTCATAAACTGACTGACTGAGTCTTAAACCGGCTGACTGACTCATAAACCGGCTGGCTGACTGACTCATAAACCGGCTGGCTGACTCATAAACTGACTGACTGACTCATAAACCGGCTGGCTGACTCATAAACCGGCTGACTGACTCATAAACCGGCTGGCTGACTCATAAACTGACTGAATGAGTCTTAAACCGGCTGACTGACTCATAAACCGGCTGGCTGACTCATAAACTGACTGACTGACTCATAAACCGGCTGGCTGACTCATACCGGTTGGCTGACTCGTAAATTGTCTTGCTGAACTCATAAACTGGCTGACTGACTCAAACCGGTTGGCTGACTGATAAACTGGCTGGCTGACTAATAAACTGACTGACTGACTCATAAACTGGTTGGCTTACTCATAAACTGACTGGCTGACCTATAAACTGACTGACTCAAACTGACTAACTCATAAACTGACTGAGTGACTCATAAACTGGTTGGCTTACTCATAAACTGACTGGCTGACCTATAAACTGACTGACTAACTCATAAACTGACTGAGTGACTGAGATAATATTTCGTCCAGAAGCGACTGATAATTACATCTTATTCTCACCTGTTTACCTGTCGTGTAATTAACACCTTAATAAAACCGTAATGTAATGTGGCTACTTTACCTGTATGGACGGGGGGGGTATTACATTTAGACAGGTGAGGGTATTATTAGGTTGGACAGGTGAGATGAATATTGATTAGTTTGGACAGGTAGGTAAATATTGATCAGTTTGAACAGGTGAGGGGAATATCTGATTCAATATTTGATGACATCAGTGCCACTCAGGAGGACAGTGCCACTCAGGAGGACAGTGCCACTCAGGAGGACAGTGCCAGTGTCAAGATTATAGGGGTTAATTGTGGCTAATGGTTGTCATACAGGTAATGTTTGGTAATTATTGGTGCTGGCGTCTCTCTTACCTTGTGTGTGTGTGTGTGTGTGTGTGTGTGTTTATACGTGTGTGTGTGTGTGTGTTTATACGTGTGTGCGTGTACGAGTCGCATTAGTTATAGCAACAACAACAACATTCCACTACCTTTACACACACACACACACACACACACACACACACACACACACACCATTTCATCCCTGACCAAAAATACAGATCAAGCATCCCATCCATCCGTCCGTCCGTCCGTCCGTCCGTCCGTCCGTGCGTCCGTCTGTCTGTCTGCCCGTCCGTCCGTCCGTGTCCTCACTATAGCTCACCACACACTAGCCACACTGTGATGAAACATGGTGGTATAGTGAGTCTTGTCGTGGTCTTGGTGGTAATCATCGGATGGGTAGTTAGTGAGGATAATTTGACAGTTAGGGTTGTTTTAAAGCGGTGGTCATTAGGGGTGTTTTGTGTTGAAGCTTCTGAGTGTAATTAACGGGGTCGGTTTTTATATGTCGGGGTCAGTAACCTTGTGTGTGTGTGATGGAAGAGGGGGGTGAGAGGGAAGTGAGAGGGAAGTGAGAGAAGGAAGAGTGTGGTATGTGAGAGGGAGGGAGAGGTGTCAGCATGTCACCTTGAAGCGGGAAAGTACTCTCCACCATGTTAGTGAGAGGATGTGTGAGAGGGGAGGGAGTGTGTGAGAGGGGGAGAGGGAGTGTGTGAGAGGGGGAGGTGTGTGAGAGGAGGGAGGTGTGTGAGGGGAGGGGGGAGGGTGTGGGGAGAGGGGGGAGGGTGTGAGGAGGGAGGAGTGTGTGAGAGGGTGTGTGAGGAGGAGTGTGTGGGGGAGGGTGTGTGAGAGGGAGGGGTGTGAGAGGGGGAGGGTGTGTGAGGGGGAGGTGTGGGGAGGGAGGAGTGTGTGAGGAGGGAGAGGAGGTGTGAGAGGGGAGGGAGTGTGAGGGGGAGGGAGTGTGTGAGAGGAGAGGGGTGTGTGTGAGGGGAGGGAGAGTGTGAGAGGGGAGGGAGAGTGTGTTGATATTAACAACTACAACCACTAATACCACTACTACCACCCCCACCACCACAACTACCATCACCACCACCACAACTACCACCACCAGACTAACTTTTATTATGGAATCTAAACACACACACACACACACACACACACACACAAACAAGGTATTTTTTGAGCTCTTTACTGTAGCTCACAAGGACACAGGAGGTATTGTAAATGGCTCTCCTTTGTGTCTGTTCTCCTGAATTGGTTGCTTGTGTGTGTGAGTTATTTAAAGATTTTAATTGAGAGATCGAACCGGAACCTTTTTGTTGGTGTGTGAGAATTCTTGTGGTGTTGTTGTTATTGTTGGAGGTACTGTTGTTGTTGTTGGAGGTACTGTTGTTGTTGTTGGAGGTACTGTTGTTGTTGTTGTTGGAGGTACTGTTGTTGTTGTTGGAGGTACTGTTGTTATTGTTGGAGGTACTGTTGTTGTTGTTGTTGGAGGTACTGTTGTTGTTGTTGGAGGTACTGTTGTTGTTGTTGGAGGTACTGTTGTTATTGTTGGAGGTACTGTTGTTATTGTTGGAGGTACTGTTGTTATTGTTGGTGTTATTGTTGTTGGTGTTATTGTTGGAGGTATTATTGTTGTTATTATTGATGTTATTAGCATGTTTATGTGAACTATTGTATCTAAACTTGAAGAGAAAGAAAGACAGACAGACAGACAGACAGACAGAGACACAAACAGACAGACAATCAGAGAGTGAAAGAGACAGAGAGACAGACAGACAGACAATCAGAGAGAGCTTGTGTACCAAGCCGTTGCTGAGGGTACAACCAAGCACATGATTGAGTGGCACTTTTTTATTTATTCATATGTTCACTGCGTTATGTACTGTTCTCACGTTAGTTCATGTTCTCTTGTTCTTGGTGTTGTCGTGTTCTTGTTCTCGTGTTTTTGTTGTTCTGGTGTTGTTGTTGTTGTTGCTG